CCCCCCCCCACACACACACTTCTAAGTAAAAGAGAAAAACAAGCTAGCTAAGCATTATTATAATTTAAAGTGAGCTTTCTTAACATGTGCAGGAGAAATCAAACTATGTCACCTAAACTGCTCGAAATAACAACAGTCTTCCACATTGCCACCACACAAATTTATAATATAATCCTATAGCTTATTACTCAGAAATAAACCCCCTTGATGAATGCCTGCAGGACTGTATTGAGTATCTTATAAATAATGTAAATACTCCATCTATCACATTAAATTCTTGCACAAAATTTCAAATATGTATATCTGGCATTGAAAATCTGCTTGTTTCCTTTGTTTATAGGTCCTCCTGATGCACCTGATAAACCTTTAGTAGAGGAACCTACTAGCAGTAGTATGTTGGTTAAATGGAATGAACCTAAAGACAATGGTAGCCCCATTCTGGGGTACTGGATTGAAAAACGTGAAATCAACGGAACTCATTGGGCTCGGGTGAATAAAGATCGTGTGAATGCTCTGCAAACAAGAGTTGAAGGATTGTTGGAAGGATTAACATACGTTTTCAGAGTTTGTGCTGAAAATGCAGCTGGCCCTGGCAAATTTAGCCCCCCATCAGATCCTAAAATTGCACAAGATCCAATATGTAAGTTCTTTAATAAATACAGTTATCACTGGTCAAGAAAAGGGAGCTTTAAATATATATTAATATTGGTTTATATCTTTTTATTTTTTTTAGTACCACCTGGTCCACCTATTCCAAGAATCCTTGATACAAGTTCAACATCTATTGACCTAGTGTGGGATGCTCCACTATACAATGGAGGTGGAGAAATCATTGGTTATCATGTTTACAAGCAATTTGTGGGCTCAAAGGAATGGTCCCGTTGCACAGATAAACCTGTTAAGGTTCAAAGCTACTTAGTTAAAGGAATTAGAGAAGGTGCTGATTACAAACTTCGTGTCACTGCTATTAATATTGCTGGGGAAGGACCTCCTGGAGAAACAGAACCTGTAACTGTTTCAGAACCTCAAGGTAATATCATTATTTAACTTGAACTAAATTCTTACATGAAATAATTAATGTGAATATGATATAATGAAAGCTCTTTCTTTTTCTGAATATAGAGCCTCCCACTGTGGAACTAGATGTTTCTGTCAAAGCAGGTGTTCAGATACTGGCAGGTCAAACCCTTAGACTTCCTGCTACTGTTACTGGACGTCCTACACCTACAATTGTATGGACTTTAGAGGATGGGGAACTAGACAAAGAGCGAGTGGTGATTGAGAATATTGGCACTTCATCAGAATTAATGATCAAAAACGCACTCAGAAAAGACCATGGAAGATATGTAATTACTGCAACTAATGAGAGTGGCTCTAAATCTGCTGCAACCAGAGTAGAAGTATTCGGTAACAAATACTTTAGTGAAATACTTTTAGTGAAACAATTTGATGAAGTATTTGTGCCTTTGTATTACATTCTATATCTGCTTTTTCAGATGTTCCTGGGCCAGTGACTGATCTACATCCTGTAGTGGTGAACAGAAAAATGTGTCTGCTTAACTGGGATGATCCCAAAGATGATGGAGGAAGTGAGATTATAGGCTTCATCGTAGAAAGGAAAGATGCCAAAATGCATACTTGGAGACTAGCTGTGGATACAGACAGATCAAAATGTGATATTACTGGTCTTGTGGAAGGGCAAGAATATAAATTCCGTGTCTCTGCCAAGAACAAGTTTGGCTGTGGTCCACCAGTGGAACTTGGGCCACTACTTGCTGTTGATCCCCAAGGTATTATATTTTGTCAGTATGAACCATGACAATGTTTTAGGATACCTTGTCTCTTAATTTCAGCTGTAAAATATTTATACCTATTTATAATCCCAAGATTTTTCTAGTCTATAAAAATCACTGGGCTGTTTTTTTTTTCACAGTTAAAGTTGGGACATATGTGTTTCTTGGCAGAATACCATAGTAGTGTTCAAAGAGCTGTTTCAGCATTACTAATATCTGTAATCCAGTCTTACGAGCATATTGGTTGCTTTGGGGCCAAAGACAGAATATATTCTAAGCGATTTAACATAGTCAAGGGAGGAACTATTGCCAAAATAAATGAAGATGAAGATGAAGAAATCCAAAATCCCATTTATCTTTAATATCTCCTTCAATTCATAAGCATGTTGCAAGCAGGATTGGGTAGAAACAGAGCAGGATCTCCATGCTGATCTCTGGGTGACTCACAGTAGATCAGTTGTGATTTCCAGTACTATCTGTTTAACAAAACAACAATACATTTTGTGTAAAAAGACGATGAGTTCCACCTAGTTCTGATACTGAAAGCAAATGTATTCAGAAACACCCTGTCCCTGGTCTTTGTTGTATGCTCTTTGCAGTTGTCCCTGTTTGGTGGATCTTGGAGTTTTTCTTAAAATGCAAAATAAATTCAGCAAGGCTGAAAACTGCTTACTTCTGGTTTAAACTATATATGATTTAGAACCAAACTGAAGAAATACAGTAGCATAGGGCACAAATTAATTTAACCTAATAGCCTGGGAAAAGATTTTTGGAACTTACAGAGGTTATATGTAAAAATATCTATTGGGATATCCAAACACTTCACTACAGAAAGGATATTAGAAATATCAATATATTCAAATTCAAATTATTAACCCGAAAATAGAGACAAAAGTGAATTATGTTTCTTGTAGAGACAGGGAATGCTTTTACACTCTTTCCAAGCTTTGATGAATGCCAACCTCCTACCCTTAATCATGTAACATAAAAGCTATCTGATGGCTGATTCTGACAATGCCTTTTTTCACCAAAATGCTTTTTGGAATAATAACTGAGATGGCAGGTACAAAAAAATCTTCAAAAGTGCATTAATGTGGGTAAAATAATATGTGGGCTCTAATTATCTTGCTTTTGTTGGTGTGTGTGCCAACAAAACAGGAATATCATACCAAATGTGTGTGTGCCAACAAAACAGGAATATCATACCAAATGAATTCATTATTTAAGTATTTCATGCCTTAATCGTAAGTCAAACTACTGCATAACCATAGTTATGTGGTTAAAAAACAAGCTTTCAATGCAAGTCTATGAATTAAACCTTTTACTATAACGTTCTTCTCACAATAGGTCCTCCAACTGCCCCTGAGAGGTTAATGTATACAGATAGAACAAAATCATCAATTACCCTTGACTGGAAGCCTCCTCGTAATGATGGTGGCAGCCCTGTCATTGGCTATCTCGTTGACAAGAGAAGACATGACTCAGATGAATTTGAAAGAGTCAATAAAACACCTTGTCCCACCACATCACTTCTTGTTGATAACCTTGCTGAGCTGCATATGTATGAATTCCGAGTCAAGGCAGTCAATGCGATTGGAGAAAGTGAACCATCACTGCCTCTCAATGTTGTTATACAAGATGATGAAGGTGAAGTACTTTAATAACTATACCTGAACTTTAAACATGAATTGGGGGTTTGTTATTAATGCATTTTAAAGAACTGCGCCGTTACTGAATTGTGCTGATTCCCTTTCAGAACCTCCCACAGTGACATTGCGTCTTGCTGTTAGGGGAGATACTATCAAAGTCATGGCAGGGCAACCAGTTCACATTCCTGCAGATGTGACAGGTCTTCCGATGCCAAAGATTGAATGGTCCAAAGATGAGGTTCTCATTGAGAAAACATCAGATGCCCTTAAGATCACCAAAAAGGAAGTATCTAGAACAGAGGCCAAAACTGAACTCAGTATGCCTGCAGCAGTTAGAAGGGATAAAGGCACTTACACAGTTACAGCCTCCAATCGTCTGGGCTCTGCATTCCGCAATGTTCACGTTGAAGTATTTGGTAAGTATATGATTTCCTGCTTCAGTGATTGAAATAGTCTTCCCTTTGGTCTGACATAACACAATATTGAAATTGGTTTTATCTAGATCGTCCTTCTCCGCCAAGAAATCTTACTGTTTCTGACATTAAAGCTGAGTCTTGCTGTCTAACCTGGGATGCTCCACTTGATAATGGTGGCAGTGAAATTACTCACTACATTATTGAGAAGCGTGATGCAAGCAAGAAGAAAATAGATTGGGAGGAAGTATCCAACACTGCGGTGGACAGACGATTTGTGGTAAATTTGATTTTGAAGAAAAACGCAGGGTTTCCAGATAAAAACTCTTGTATATAAAATTACACAAGTCAAAATTAACCTTCTGCATCTTCTAGATTTTTCAATACATATCTGTTTACATGTCTGAAATGTTAGTTTGTCATGATTATATATCAAAAAAGTATGAAAAGGCAGTCCTATACTTTATGTCAAAGGGAAGCATCTATGACTTTTTTTGCCCCTGCCCTGGAGACTGCTAAGTCTCCATCAACAAAATTCAATGACAGACCATCAGATAATAGAGATAAATTTTGCAACTGACTTTCAACATATAATCAGATAAAATCCATGCATTACATATTTATTAAACTGAATATACCTACTAATAAATAACCTATATATTTATGAAAATATATTTTATAGTGATGAAATATTTGGCCTGCCCTCTACATGATTTCATAGCTTCACCACCATGTCTCCTGGGACCCCCAACCATAAAAAGGTTGCCCATCTTGGCTTTACAACAGGGGTCAGCAACCTACACCCCAATGGCCAGATCTAGCCTACCACCCCTAAAATCATCCAGCCTATAGTCCCAAAAAACAATATCACATCCATCCAGTCCATTCTGATCCTAAAAAAAGAATTCAATTCGTAATTCTATCTCAGGCTTGATGTAGAACTACACTATTTTAATAAATTGTAATGATTTGGCACTGTTAAGAGTCCGTATATAAATATGCATGCATGTACCTTCGGTTACTGAGGTCTCTTCCTCCTCCCTTCATAAGCATTTCTTTCCTCAACCACAAGAGATGCCCCAGGACTCTACGGATCGTGCTCTCGTTTTCTCCTTTGTCTGCACCTCCCTTTCTTTCCTATAAGAAAGAAAGGTGTCTCTATGATTCTCTATGAGCCCTCCCAGTTACCAGTGTATTCACCTGAGAGAGAGGGAAAGAGCAGCCTGCCATCCACTCACAGACATGGCCTCTGGCCCCTATGTGGGAAAGGTTGCTAATCACTGTCTTTGCCCGTATCTCAACACAGCCAAGTTCGGTTTGTCTATATTGTTCTTAAAGTGCTAAATCCAAACTGGGTACACTACCTAGGTGAGAATCCTAGAGATTTCATAGCTATGTTGTGTTTACAGAACAGAAAATTTTGTAACAGAAAATGTGCTTTTTTATCCTAATATACAGTGGTTATGTAGCAAGGATAATATTTGTAAAGCATTGGAAAGTGAATATTATGACCAAAAAACAGGAGTTAAAACAATTGCAAACTCTATTTTGATTAAATACATGGCCATGGCTAAGAGATTTTTAATGTAAGGTCAGCTGGGAATGAGCTATCATATGTTAGAACTGTTAATTATAAAGAATAATATGCAGCACTTGACTTTAACATGACAACATTCTTGCAAACTACTGATATAAAGCATACCCAGTGAATTTTTTTTAGTAAACTACTGAATTTTTTAACCATTCTGAATATTGTTAAACAAAATTGTAACTGGAGTGACACATTTATCTGTGTCTAATGACTTTTGATATGCCGTCTTGCAATTTGTGGAAATAACAGGAATGTTTAATTTTCCAATTAATGGCACATAATGTTTTGTGTTTTTTGTTTTACCTTTCAGGTCTATAAATTGACAACTGATGGTCACTATCAATTTAGAGTTAGGGCTGTAAACCGGTATGGAATAAGTGATGAATGTCTTTCAGAGAAAGTGGTCATCAAGGATCCTTATGGGCTACCTGGGCCACCTGGAAAACCAAAAGTCATAGATCATACTAGGTCAACCATGCTGGTAACATGGACACCTCCTTTAGACAATGGAGGAGCACCGATTACTGGCTATTGGCTAGAGAAGAAAGAAGAAGGAGGTGTCTATTGGTCTCGTGTCAACAGAGCACCAGTAACAAAACCCTCAGTGAAAGGACTGGAATTCAATGTGTTGCGTTTGATTGAAGGTGTAAAATATCAGTTCAGGGCGATGGCTATTAACATTGCTGGAGTTGGTCCTCCCAGTGAACCATCAGATCTTGTTGAAGCTGCAGATCCAATCTGTGAGTATACCATGTAGTAGAAGAAGAGCGTTGAGCGTTATATGACTTCAAAAGACATCCTCTGCCATTTTGTTCCATTTGTCCTGAATCTATCTAATAACGATCCTATGATTTCAGCACATGAAATCTGAGTGGTAATATACTGTGACTTTACTTTCATTGTCATAAGAACATACCTTCATAAACTATAGCAAATTGCTTTAATTTTTTTTTATTAGAAAAATATATAGCCTATATCTTTAGTGTTTGTTTTTTTTTACTTCAGTTAAGTAAAATATATATGGATTTTTTTTAGCTAAAACAATAAGGACATAATCATAATTCAGAATATTTTACATTTGCTCAATAGTTCCTCCTGGTGCACCATCATGCCCAGATGTCAAAGACAGAACTAAGTCAACCATATCTCTTGCATGGAAACCTCCACAAAAAGATGGTGGCAGTCCTATTAAAGGTTATATTGTTGAAATGCAAGAAGAAGGTAGTTTGGATTGGAAGAATGTGAATGAGCCAGATAAGCTGTTCCCTACCTGTGAATGTGTTGTTCCCAACCTGAAAGAGCTAAGAAAATACAGATTTAGAGTAAAGGCTGTAAATGCTGCAGGGGAATCAGAGCCAAGTCTTGCTACTTCAGAAGTACCATGCAAGGAAATTCTAGGTAAGAATTCTGGAATATTTTCTGTTACAACGTGAAGTAAAGTGAAAGGGTAACAAAGATCAAATAATGTGTAAACTAAGTTTCCAGAATTGTTGCCCAACATATTACTGCTTTCTAAGGAGTGATGAATGGTGTCTAGAATTTCTGGAATTCCCTTCTCCAATGAGGTCTATCTGTTGCTAATGTATTATATTTTATATTTTTATAAACAGCCAGGGACCCTTGGTTAAAATGAGAGAGCTAGCTCTTTTACACATGTATGTTTTCATGAGAAAAATACATAACTCAGGTTATTATAAGTAGATTAATTTCAATTATGTGATTTATATCTTGTAGAAGAGCCAGAAATATTTATTGATGTTAAAGCAAAAGATTTGCTTTCTTGTCGTACTGGCACAACAATCAGAATCCCAGCAATTATTAAAGGACGCCCAGTTCCCAAAGTATCTTGGGAATTTGAAGGAGATGCAAAGAAGACAGTAAAGGTCAGTAAGAAACAAATAACACTGTTTCAAAATTCCAACTACATTTATTTAGATATCTTTAGATTTACTGTTTTCTCTTTTATTTAAAGGATGGACATAATATACCAGAAGATGCTACAGTAAGAAATAACTTATATTTGAATTCCATATATTTAACTTCGTATTTCAATTTAAATAATTTAAATTTATATATCACTATATTCACTATTGGTAGAGTTAATCTCTTTAATTTTTAAATAATTTGTAAGTGAGTTCATTTTAATTTTACCTGTCTAGGTGGAATCAACTGATACCAGTTCAGTAATTACTATTCCTGAGTGTAACAGAGGTCATTCTGGAAAATATAGTATTACAGCAAGAAATAAAGCAGGACAGAAAACTGTAAATGTGAGAGTGAATGTTCTTGGTAAGTTTATTGAATCCTAATTTTGCACTAATTCTCTAGTACTGTGATTTAAATAAAGCTAAATAATTCCATGGTATTTTCACATTGATAGATGTTCCTGGGCCACCAAAAGACCTGAAAGTAAGTGATGTAACAAGATGCAACTGTAAACTTTCATGGAAAATGCCAGATAACGATGGTGGAGACAGAATCAGAAATTATATTATAGAGAAGAGAACTGTTGAAGGGAAAGCCTGGACAAAAGTTAGTGCAAACTGTCCCGGAACATCATTAATTATTCCTGATCTCATAGCTGGACAACAGTATTTCTTCCGTGTACGTGCAGAAAACCGCTTTGGTGTCGGTCCACCAGCAGATACAGTTCAAAGAACCACAGCAAGAGATCCAATCCGTGAGTTAAATCAAATTGAAAAAGTTGCTTTTATTAGGATAGTATAATGTTTAGCAGTGCTTACTCTGTTCTGCTTGTTTGTTTGTTTTTAAAGAACCTCCTGATCCACCAATCAAACTTAAGATTGGTCTTGTAACCAAGAACTCTGCCGACCTGACATGGAAACCTCCAAAGAATGATGGTGGTGCTCCTGTGACACATTACAATATTGAGTGCCTGCGCTGGGATCGTACAGGTGAAGGCAAGGAAGCCTGGCGCCAGTGCAATAAACGTGACGTGGAAGAAACAAAGTTTACAGTTGAGGACCTTAATGAAGGTGATGAATATGAATTCAGAGTGAAAGCAGTAAATGAAGCAGGTCCTAGCAGACCATCAGCTACAGTTGGACCTATTGTTGTCAAAGATCAGACATGTAAGTATCATCATCATCATTTCTTTTGTCCACTGATCAACAAAATTTACATCCAATGCTAAAATTAAAGCCATCCCATTGTGCCAATGGTCTAATCTACATACTGTAAGAATAACTAAAATTTAAGGTGCTAGCACAAATATAAAGACATAATACCAATACCATTAAGATTAGAAATATAATTAGGATTACAAAATCAACTATGAATGCAGTGCTATATAAATCTATGCAATTAGTATGGTATTATACAAAGGTATATATAATGCTAAAAATGACTAAGCATCCATAGTATGAATGGCTAACACAGAATATAAGTCACAAAATCACTAAAATCTACAGATATTTCAAAACTAAATATTAATGGGGTGACTATAAAACTATGATACAAAAATGTATATAGACCATAAAAGGGGATGGCAGGGAATCTACAGACTAAAGCCTAAAATACCCCACACACATGCCCCCCCCCAAAATTGTTTTAATTGTTCTAATAGTTCCAGTGACTGAGGGTGTGAATTATAGGTGTAACAAAGTATATAAAAGAAAACTATGCCAGTGACTATTACTGCCCGTTTGTAAGCAAAGTATATTTCCACATAATATAATGACATTTTGCTACTTTTTAGGAAGTAAAGTACTGAGAAGCATTCAGAAGTTTTGCACAGTATAGAGGTGAAAACATGTTTACCTCCATATCCTTTGCATTGATAGAATAATTTTTGCTTGGTTTTGTTTGTAGGTCCTCCATCTGTTGAACTCAAAGAGTTTATGGAGGTAGAAGAAGGAACAGATATTAACATTGTAGCTAAAGTGAAGGGTGTGCCTTTCCCTACATTGTCTTGGGCTAAAGCTCCTCCAAAGAAACCAGATGACAAACTACCAGTGGTGTATGATCAACATGTCAATAAAATTGTGGGTGAAGACTCTTGCACGTTGGTGATACAACAGTCTCGCAGAAAGGATACAGGCTTGTACACCATAACTGCTGTCAATAAGTTTGGAACAGATTCAAAGGAGATGAGACTAAATGTTCTAGGTAAATATGAATAACTTTTAGTTTTGACAATCTAATTTGCTGTTTATTATATCATGTTATGATTTGCTTTACTTAATATTTTATCAAATATATTTTTCAGGTCGCCCTGGACCACCAGAAGGACCCATTAAATTTGAATCTATTACAGCTGATCAGATGACATTGTCTTGGCTACCTCCAAAAGATGATGGTGGCTCTAAGATAACAAACTATGTTATTCAGAAAAGGGAAGCAAACAGAAGGACATGGATCAATGTTACCAATGAGCCTAAGGAATGCATTTTCACAGTTCCCAAGCTGGTTGAAGGCCATCAATATATCTTCCGCATAATGGCACAGAATAAATATGGCATCGGGGAGCCTCTTGATAGTGAACCTGAAACAGCAAGGAATCTTTTCAGTAAGTACAGAATTGTTTCAGATAGATTTATATAGAAAATAGAACTGAAGAGGAATCAGATTAACCACTGTGACAGTTACAAACGAGAATTATTTTGAACTCTGTATAGTAAATGTATTTATAATAATTATTAAAAGTCTTCATAAATATTTTTCTATGCATAACTGTTGTATTTTCTGAAAATGCATTTTAATTTTATATCATCTCTCAAATTTGAATTGTGTTTATTGTAAGTATTCCATTCTGGATATCCTCTTTCTCTAGCTTTATCATTAAAAGAACACATTAAATTCTCTGAATTAGAGTCCAAATACGTTACTACGCATCATTGTGCACAGTGCTGGGACAAAGAAAATCCTATTTATTCCAACACTAGGTATCAGCCATACTGCTCTTGGAATCTGCTGGACCATCACATGCGAAATGATGGTGCTGGGCAGAGAGTGCAATAATTATATTCTGTCATCATTATGACCTCTGTGGCTTTGAGAGACCAAATTAAAAAATGTGCTCCCCCAATTGCTGATAGGTTGCTGATGTTTTAGGAAGCAGGAGAGTTTGAGAGAGGTGAGCTGGAGCTAGATATCCCAGTCCTTCTTATTTCTCAGCTACAGTAGGCTAGAACGTCTACAAAAAAGGACAGCTCTGTGTTGCAAGTTAAAGTTGCAGTGAAATTCTAAAAAGGCAGCTCTAAGAAAAAACTGCAGAGTATCATGCAAAAATGAGCACTAGCACTTTATTTTACAATCTATGTATCTTTTTTCCTAGCTGTTCCTGGAATTTGTGACAAGCCAACAGTAAGCAGCATCACACATGACTCAATGACTGTCAACTGGGAGGAGCCAGAATATGATGGAGGCTCCCCTGTGACAGGTTACTGGCTGGAACGCAAAGAAACCACTGGCAAGAGATGGACAAGAGTTAACCGTGATCCTATTAAGCCTATGACGCTTGGCGTTTCTTACAAAGTAAATGGCCTCATTGAAGGTTCAGATTATCAGTTCCGTGTATATGCTATTAATGCTGCTGGTGTTGGTCCACCAAGTATGCCTTCTGATCCAGCCACTGCAAGGGACCCAATTGGTAAATGGCTTCAATTGTTTTTTTATTTCATGTGAAAAGAGGGAAGGAAAGGGATTACCAAACAGTGAGCAGTAGTTGTTTATTATAAATAAATATTCTCATGTCAAAATGGTCTGATGTTTTTCAGCTCCACCTGGCCCTCCAATTCCAAAGGTCACTGACTGGACAAAATCATCAGTTGATCTTGAGTGGTCTCCACCATTAAAAGATGGTGGCTCTAAAGTTACTGGTTACCTTGTTGAATTCAAAGAGGAAGGGAAGGAAGAGTGGGAAAAGGTAGGTAATGAGGTACCATGAAAATTTATTTCTGACACACTATGACAGGGCTTGTTAATCGGAAGTGACGATGAGCGCTGAGCTCCATCCTTCAAGGTGTCTTGCTTCATCAGTCTGGCCTCAGAGCAGCAGGATCATTGCTTTGGTTTTCTTCAGGTAGCTTTTAGAGAAACATGGATAACCTAAGGAGCAAGAGTAAGGAAGAAATAAAAGAGGAAGGGCAAAAGGCATTTGTGTCCAACAATGCCAGCTGAACTGAAAAAGGCCAAGAAGCAATAGAAGAGGGGAAGACAATTCTGCCTGTACATAGACATACCGTTGATGTTACATCAGCTGCATTACAGGATGCTTCTGTACCAAAATATTAAGCAAACCAATTGTCTGAGAAAGTGCTAGGAGTTCGAAAAATAAGTCTCTAATTTTAGAATGACTAGCTATGACTAGCATCACTTTTATAAATGCCATTTCACATACAAATCATCTCAATGTCTAGAATAAGACTGCATTCAAAAAAATAACAGAGCATGCTTGAGGTGCAATAAAACATATGTACTTAGCTTTTATTAGAATATGGATTAGTGACACATGTGGAGAAACTATGTCTGTGTACAATTTGTCTCAGAATTTAATTTAGAAAAGTTACCCACGTATTTTACTGATTTGGTAGATTACTGTGTCTTGGAGATAAAGATGGTCCTTTCATCTTTTATTCATCTTTTATTATTTTTTTCCAATTCATAACTTCACAGTCAATCGCTATATAAGAAATGTGCATGCCAATATTAGAACCCACCCATATTTCTTTCTGTTATGACTATTTTAGTTGTTCTGTCCTACAGGAAATGTGTTAGTTGACTCTACATTATATTTAATTTTCAGGCAAAGGATAAAGAAATAAGAGGAACCAAGTTTGTTCTGGCAGGATTAAAAGAAGGAGGCTTCTACAGATTCAGAGTCAGAGCAATTAATGCTGCTGGTATTGGAGAGCCTGGAGAAGTTACTGAAGTTATTGAAATGAAGGACAGAATAGGTATTTCTTAGTATAAAATACTCTCTCTTTTAGGAAGTCCCATCCACCCAGAGTTTACTTATGAATTGGGAAGTAGCTGAGTGAATGGAGGGAGGTACAATGGCTGCAGACATCATTGCTGAAAAAGGTGGATGCCTTGGAAGATTAGGGTGAAAATCATCCATTGCTTGGGAGGGCCTGTTTTCCTGATGAATTTAACTTTTAACTTTTTCTTTCTTTTTGTACTTAATTACTTCATGCCATAATTGTCACTCAGTTTTATTCCCCCCACCTTTTTCTGTCCTTCCCTCCCCACCATAGCTGGCTCTTCCCCTGTACCCAGTTCCAATTAAGGGCCTTTTGTTTTGGCCATGCTCCTTTTTAGAGTAATTACTTCTTGTGATAACACATGCACACACGCACGCCCACACACAGATATATACATACCTGCACACATATACAAATGTGTCATATGCACGTATTTATCATAGACAGAATCTTCAGAATTAGTTTTATTTGTTGAAAAGGTAAAGAAATTAGGCATTGTATAGGATTTTTGTATTTGCTTATACTTTTTTTCCTATTTACTCCGTTTTCCTTCTGGAAAGGTATGGTATGTACAAGATGCATTGTTTGTTTCTGCAGTGCCCCCTGATCTTCAGTTGGATGCCCACGTGAAAGACAGAATTGTTGTTCATGCTGGTGGGGTAATCCGCATTATAGCTTATGTCTCAGGAAAGCCACCTCCAACAGTTACTTGGAGTATGGATGAAAGACCTCTGCCAGAAGAAGCTAAAATTGAGGAAACTGCTATCAGTTCTTCCATGGTCATAAAGAACTGCAAGAGAAGTCACCAGGGTATCTATACTCTCCTTGCTAAAAATGCAGGTGGAGAAAGAAAGAAGGCTATTATTGTTGATGTACTAGGTAAGCTGTGAAAGCTGAATATCTGTATCTCACTATTTTTGAGGATCTCAGCTTTTGGTGGTAAATGTTCATCCTGAATACATTTTTCTTTTATTTTCCTTAACAGATGTACCTGGCCCAGTTGGAGTTCCATTCCTTACGGAAAACTTAACCAATGACTCTTGCAAACTTACATGGTTTTCTCCAGAAGATGATGGAGGTTCAGCTATTACCAACTACGTCATTGAAAAGCGTGAAGCAGATCGCAGAGCTTGGACACCAGTGTCCTATACTGTCACCAGACAAAATGCAACTGTGCAGGGACTGATTGAGGGCAAAGCATACTTCTTCCGCATTGCACCAGAGAATATCATTGGCATGGGCCCCTTTGTAGAGACGAAAAAAGAGCTTATAATCAGAGATCCAATCAGTATGTATCTTTACTTTTATCAGGAGAGATTGCAACAAAAATGCTCTTAGGAATATGTGCTTAATATGCTGCATATGTTTATTTCTAGGTGTGCCAGAGAGGCCTGAGGATCTTGAAGTAAAAGCAGTAACTAAGGATTCTGTTACACTGACTTGGAACCCACCAAAGTATAATGGTGGCTCTGATATAACTATGTATGTTTTGGAAAGCCGACTCATTGGAAAGGATAAATTCACTAGAGTTACAAAAGAGAAAATGCTTGATCGGAAATACACCGTGGAAGGTTTGAAGGAAGGCGACACTTATGAATATCGTGTGAGCGCTTGCAATATTGTAGGACAAGGCAAACCTTCATTTTGTACAAAACCCATCACGTGCAAGGATGAAGTCGGTAGGTTTGATCTCTGGAAACCAGCCCACTAGCATGCACTGGATGATTTGTGATATTTTTCAAAAAAATGCTGATTTTTCTTTTCTTTTTCTTAAACAATATTTTTAGCTCCTCCACAACTTGAGCTTGATATCAGAGAAAAACTCACAGTCCGTGTAGGAGAAGCATTCAGTCTAACTGGCCGTTATTCAGGCAAGCCGGCACCAACGGTTACTTGGTTCAAAGACGACATTACAGTGAAAGAAGACAAACGAACTAAGATCCAGACTACTCCAGCTACAATTTGCTTGGGAGTATTGAAATCTGTCCGTGAAGATTCAGGCAAATATTCTGTTGTTGTAGAAAACAGTTCAGGATCAAGAAAAGGAATCTGTCAAGTTACTGTTGTTGGTAAGTAAGTCCTCTTCTAGGACCAAGTATTTGCATGGAAGATCTGTTTTGCAATGGGGCCATCTGGCCTTTGGAGTAGAAATGCACCACTTGGCAGAGTGAGCAAGAAGATTCCCAAATGAGCAGGAGAAAACTGATTCCGAAGTAAGCTTTATATCTAGAATTTAGAGTTCAGAAAGCACTTACATTTTAGAAATTAACTTCTTGTTCATGCCTCTTTGGTAGTTACTTTTTGGTGCACCTTTTGGAATTGCTGCCTTCTAAGACTCTGCAAGCAAGTACCCTTAAGCAATGCAATGTTTACTGTTTCCAAACACTCTGTCTGCTTGAACCATGAGGTTGCACAGCTCTAATTCCCAAGTGATTGAAGCTGCTTTCCCTAAAATAGTAAAATACAGCTGATGTATACATAACGTTACCCCATTAAAAATAAGTCAGGTTTAGTAAGTTGGGAGAGAGAAAAGAATTACACATTTCATTGCTAACAGAAAACAAACTGACAATATGTTTAGCTTTATCAATTATAGCACATGTTGGGAATCAGCCAATTAGCCCTGATTTTCTTTCTTTAGGTGTTGTCAAATTTGTCATTTTTATTTGAAATGTTTGAATGTGTGTTTATGTGCTTTTCAACAGACCGTCCTTCGCCTCCAGTGGGCCCTGTCATTTTTGATGAAGTACATAAGGACCACTTTATTATTTCCTGGAAACCTCCCTTGGATGATGGTGGCAGTCCAATTACAAATTATATTATTGAGAAGAAAGATGCCCACAGAGATCTCTGGATGCCGGTCACATCAGCAAGTGTCAAAACAACATGCAAAGTCCCGAAATTATTGGAAGGAAGAGAATATGTGGTCCGAATTTATGCTGAGAATCTGTATGGCATAAGCGATCCACTGCTATCTGATGAAATGAAGGCCAAGGATCGTTTTAGTACGTTGCCTATTTTCTAATCTATTTTAATTACTTACCTGCCACATTCCTATTTCTCATATTTCATATTCCTATTGTTCTATAAATGGGTTTAAAATGTAATATGTTTTTTTCCAGATGTTCCTGATGCACCAGAGCAGCCAATTATTAAGGATGTCACCAAAAATTCTGCATTAGTTACCTGGAACAAACCACATGATGGAGGAAAACCAATAACCAATTACATACTTGAAAAGAAGGAAACAATGTCTACTCGATGGGCAAAAGTCACTCAAGCACCTATTTATCCAGATACCCAATTTAGGGTAACTGATCTTCTTGAAGGCTGTGAATATGAATTCCGGGTTTCAGCAGAAAATGAAATTGGTATTGGTGACCCAAGCCCCCCATCAAAACCAATCTTTGCTAAAGATCCAATTGGTATGTTATAAAACACTTTCTTATCTGCTCTTCTTTGAGTCAGTATTTTCAAACCAATACTTTCTCTTTTCATAATTGCTGTTTGTTTTCTTTTTTAACAGTTAAGCCAAGTCCTCCAATTAATCCAGAAGCAGTGGATAAAACTAAAAATTCAGTTGATTTGTCCTGGCAACCACCACGTCATGATGGAGGAGGGAAGATTATAGGCTATCTTGTTGAGTACCAAAAGGTTGGAGATGAGGAATGGAAGAAAGCCAATTATACTGCAGATTCCTGCCCTGATACAAAATATAGTGTAACTGGCCTCACTGAAGGCACTAAATATAAATTCAGAGTCATGGCAGTTAATGCAGCAGGTGAATCAGAGCCAGCCTATGTTCGTGATCCAGTGGAAGTCAAGGACAGACTTGGTAAGCAGAATATTAAATTTTATTCATTTTAAAGAACTGACATGGATGCTTTCTGAACATGAAATCTTTTTTCAGAGCCTCCAGAGTTAATCTTGGATGCTAATATGGCACGGGAACAACATATTAAAGCTGGAACTACACTGAGACTCAGTGCTCTAATTAAAGGAATTCCATTCCCAAAAGTGACCTGGAAGAAAGAAGATAAGGATGTTTCTACAAAAGCAGATATTGAAATTACAAAAGTTGGTAGTAAGCTGGAAATTCGTAATGCTGCCCATGAAGATGGAGGAATTTACTCCCTTACTGTGGAGAATCCTCTTGGATCAAAGACTGTTTCAGTAAAAGTTGTTGTGCTAGGTAATTGTGCTAATATAATTTTCAACTGTTAACGGGAAATAAAATACATCAGAGATGAGCAGCATGAGCAAGTAGTGAAATAGAAAAGAACATTGGCCTGTTCCATTCTAGGGATGAAAAGTTCACAGGAGAATTCACCTATATCTGCTGGTCTAGGTGGCCTTTTTTATTTAAGGGAGTTCTGTTCCAGCAAAAAAGCACAAATGATGTAATATCTGTGTAACGTAACAGTATGGATTATTAAATATATCAAACTAATTTCAATAAATGTTTCCTTATTAATATTTTTTCCAGATAAGCCTGGGCCTCCTAGGGATCTTCAAGTGAGTGAAGTTAGAAAAGATTCTTGTTACCTGACTTGGAAGGAGCCTGAGGACAATGGTGGCTCTGTCATTACCAACTATGTTGTGGAAAGGAAGGATGTTGCTGCTGCTCAGTGGTTACCAATATCCTCCTCTTCTAAGAAACTCAGTCTGTTGGCTAAATACCTTATGGAAGGCACTCAGTATCTCTTCCGTGTTGCTGCTGAGAATCAGTATGGACGAGGGCCTTTTGTTGAAACTCACAAGCCTATTAAGGCTTTAGATCCACTTTGTAAGCATATTTCAGTTATTTTTTGTACATACAAAATGCTGGTTATGCTATAATATTAAACTATGTAATTTGCATCTTCATATTGGTACAGACCTATAGAGTAGCTGGATTCATTGAGTCTAACCCACTTGCAGGAATCCAGATGAAAGCACATGGCTATCCATACTCTGCTTGAACACATTCAGTAAAAGAGAGCTCACAACATCCCTAGATAACTGGCTCCATGTCAAGCATCGTTACCATCAGAGGTTTTTCCAAACATTCAGCCGAACTATGGCTTCCTGCAATTTAAGAGCCTCAGTCTATGTCCTGCACACTGGTATGACAGAGAACAGGACTTGACCTTCTTCTGCGTCACTCTCCTTTAGGTGTTTGAAAATCACAGTTCCCCTCAGTCATCTTTTCTTAAAGATAAACATGCCCAGTTCTCTTAGTTTCTCCTCATAAAGCTTATTTTTACTCCATGGTCATCTCTGTCCCTCTTCTTTTCATCTATTCCAGTTTCTCTGACTCTTTCTTAAAGTGTGATGCCCTGAACTGGACAGGCCACTTGAAATGGGGTCTGACCAATATAGAATATAATGGAACTTTTACCTCCCATGATTTGGAATATATACCTTTACAGATGCAGCTACCATTTTTCATGTTTAACACATGTTAAATGCATGTTTTTATGTGTTTAAAACTAGAAATATGATTTTACTGTCTTCTTGTGTTATAAGATCCACCTGGGCCACCAAAGAACTTGCATCATGTAGATGTGGACAAGACAGAAGTCTCTCTTGTTTGGAATTACCCTGATCGTGATGGTGGTGCTGAAGTAACTGGATTTTTAGTGGAATACCAAGAAGAAGGTACAGAGGACTGGACAAAATTCAAAACAGTCCCTGTGCCAGAATGTGTTGTTACAGGCTTACAACAAGGAAAGATTTACAAATTCCGTGTGAAAGCCCAAAATATTGTGGGTCTTGGTCTCCCAGACACAACTGTACCTATTGAATGCCAAGAAAAAATAGGTAATTTCTAGATTTATGGATATCATATATCATATTAGTAACTACTGCTTATTTTAATTACCAGTATGAACCATATGGTCACGTTTATTTTATTTTTTTTATTTCAGTACCACCATCTGTTGAGCTAGATGTGAAATTAATAGAAGGGCTTGTTGTTAAAGCTGGCAGCACTGTAAGATTCCCTGCAATCATGAGAGGAGTACCTGTTCCCACTGCCAAATGGGTTACTGATAATACTGAAATCAAATCAGAAGGCAATTATAAGATTGATACTGACAACTACTCAACAGTTCTTACTATTAAAAGTTGTACAAGAAAAGATACTGGAGAATATTTACTCACAGTATCCAATCTAGCTGGAAGCAAAACTGTAGCTGTTCATTTAACAGTTTTGGATGTTCCTGGTCCTCCTACTGGCCCAATTGATATTGTGGAAGTAGCTCCAGATTACATGGTTATTGCTTGGCGTCCTCCTAAAGATGACGGTGGTAGTCCTATAACCAATTATATTGTTGAAAAGCAAGAGTCAAAGAAAGAAACCTGGGGAGTAGTCTGTTCATCACTTAGTCAAACTAGACTTAAAATTCCACGCCTGCAGAAGGGTACTGAATATATCTTCCGCGTTCGTGCAGAGAATAAGATAGGCATTGGTCCACCTCTTGATTCTCAACCAGCAGTTGCTAAGTCCATGTTTGAGCCACCATCTCCTCCTGGTAAACCAACAGTTCATGATATTACTGAAAATGCTGCAACAGTAAATTGGACTATACCAAAGTCTGATGGGGGAAGTCCAATAACTGGATATATTCTTGAACGCCGTGAAATCTCTGGCAAATGGATACGAGTAAACAAATCACCAGTACTCGATCTGAAGTTCAGAGCTACCGGCCTTTATGAGGGCAACACATATGAATTCCGTGTTTTTGCAGAAAATAGTGTTGGCCTAAGCAAACCATCTCCAGTTTCAGACCCAATAAAAGCATCACGTCCTATCTCACCTCCTGGGCCTCCAATTAATCCAAAGCTCAAAGATAAGACCAGAGAAACAGCTGAATTGGTATGGACAAAACCACTCAAAGATGGTGGTAGCCCTATACTGGGATATGTCATAGAATGCCAGAAAAGCGGAACTACTCAATGGAATAGAATTAATAAAGATGAACTTATTAGACAGTGTGCCTTTACAGTACCTGGGCTAATTGAGGGAAATGAATACAGATTCCGTATCAAAGCTGCAAATATTGCTGGAGAGGGAGAACCTAGAGAAGTGCCTGAAACAGTTCTTGCCAAAGACATTCTGTCTCCTCCAGAACTAGAACTGGATGTGACCTGCCGTGATGTAATTACTGTTAGAGTAGGCCAAACAATAAAGATTCTTGGCAAAGTGAAAGGTAGACCAGAGCCTGATATAACATGGTCGAAAGAAGGCAGAATACTGATGAAAGATAAGCGCATTAACATAATTCAGGAATTTCCACACATAGAGCTGCAAATTAAATCAGCTACAAGAGCAGACCATGGCAAATACGTTATTTCAGCTAAAAACAGCAGTGGACATGCCCAAGCATCAGCCATTGTTAATGTACTTGACAGGCCTGGACCTTGCCAGAACCTGAAAGTAAGCTATATCACTAAGGATTCCTGTATGGTATCTTTTGAGAATCCAGAAGATAATGGTGGCTCTGAAATTACAAATTATATAGTAGAATATCGTCAACCAAGTCAGAAAGGCTGGTCAATAGTCTCTTCTGATCTTACTAAGCGGTTGGTAAAAGCACATCTCATAGAAAATCATGAGTATTTCTTCCGTGTTTGTGCAGAAAATAAAGTAGGTCCAGGCCCAGTTGTTGAGACCAAGACTCCAATCCTTGCCATTAATCCAATTGATAGGCCGGGTGAGCCTGAAAATCTTCATATTGCAGAAACAGGAAAAACATTTGTGCATCTGAAATGGAGAAGGCCAGACTATGATGGTGGTAGCCCCAATTTATCTTACCACGTTGAGCGAAAACCAAAGGATTCGGATGAATGGGAAAGGGTACACAAAGGCAGCATAAAGGAAACACAGTATATGGTTGACAAATGCGTTGAAAATAAAATTTATCAGTTCAGAGTTCAGACTAAGAATGAAGCAGGAGAAAGTGATTGGGTAAAAACAAGTGAAGTTGTTGTTAAAGAAGACGTGCAAAAGCCAGTACTTGAACTGAGACTGAGTGGAGTACTCACTGTGAAAGCTGGTGAACCAATTAAAATTGAAGCAGGACTTAAAGGCAAGCCACAACCAGAAGTATCTTGGACAAAGGATGCTGAAGATTTATCCAAGTCTCCAAGGGCCAAAATTGAAACAACTTCACATTCATCTAAATTGCTTCTTGCAAAATCGAAACGTACTGATGGCGGTAAATACGTTATCACAGCTACTAATCCAGTTGGTAGCTTTGTAGCATATGCTACTGTAAATGTTTTGGACAAACCAGGACCAGTAAGAAATTTGAAAGTCTCTGATATTTCAAGTGATAGATGTAGACTCAGCTGGGACCCACCCGAAGATGATGGTGGTTGTGAAATACAGAACTACATCGTGGAGAAATGTGAAAGCAAGCGTATGGTTTGGACCACATATTCCTCCTCGGTGTTAATGAACTCTGTACAAGTAACACCTCTCATAGAAGGGAATGAATATATTTTCAGGGTTCGTGCAGAAAACAAAATGGGCACAGGTCCACCAACAGAGACTAAGCCAATTATAGCCAAAGCAAAGTATGATAGACCTGGTCGTCCTGATCCTCCAGAGATCACAAAAGTCAGCAAAGAGGAGATGACTGTAGTTTGGAATCCACCAGAATATGATGGTGGAAAATCAATTACAGGGTATATATTAGAAAAGAAGGAGAAGAGGTCACTAAAATGGGTTCCTGTTACCAAAACTGCAATTCCAGAAAGACGCAAGAAAGTTACAGATCTTATTCCAGGATATGAATACCAATTCCGTGTGAAGGCAGAAAATGAAATTGGAATTGGTGAACCAAGTTTCCCATCAAAGCCAGCAATAGCAAGAGACCCAATAGGTAATGATCTTCCATGTATCACTGTATTAACATTTTAATTCTCTCTTTGAGTCACTGGAATGCTTATTCCTATACTTTGATGTATTTTACAGAACCACCTGGTCCTCCCATTAATCTTAAGGTTGTTGATAGCACAAAGACCTCTGTTACTCTTGGCTGGGGAAAGCCACTCTATGATGGTGGTGCTCCAATTATTGGATATGTGATAGAAATGAGGCCAAAAGCTGAAAAAGCTGGTCCTGAAGAAGGATGGAAAAGATGCAATGTCGCAGCACAAGTCATTCATACAGAATTTACAGTGACAAGTCTGGATGAGAAAGAACTATATGAGTTCCGTGTTTCTGCCCAAAATCAGGTTGGCATTGGACCTCCAGCTGATTTGAAGGAAGCTGTTTCTCCCAAAGAAATACTTGGTAATTTTGCCAGTCAACCATTAAATTATTGTTACTGATTTTCTGCCTTGCTGTGTACTTTCACAGACTGCACTCTTTTCCTCTTACTTTTCAGAGCCTCCTGAGATAGAACTGGATGCTAGCATGAGAAAATTACTGATAGTCAGAGCTGGATGCCCCATAAGACTCTTTGCTATTATTAGAGGACGACCAGCACCTAAAGTCACCTGGAGGAGAGTGGGAATTGATAATGTGATCAGAAAGGGCCAGGTTGACCTGGTTGACACAATGGCCTTCTGTGTCATTCCCAATTCAACTCGGGATGACTCGGGCAAATACTCTTTGACTCTTGTTAACCCTGCTGGAGAAAAAGCTGTGTTTATCAATGTCCGTGTTCTTGGTAAGTATCAGGGATACTTTTATCAACTACCTTTTATCAATTTCCTCTGTAAAAATCTGCTCTCTTGTTTTGAATATTGGTTTAATGCTGTGCCTGTACCCTTTGTTTTCTTCATAGATACTCCTGGACCTGTTGCAGACTTCAGGGTCTCTGATGTCACTAAAATGACATGTCAGCTTTCATGGACACCACCTGAGAATGATGGTGGTAGTCCTGTCACACATTACATTCTGGAAAAGCGTGAGGCTGATAGGAAAAGCTGGGGGACTGTTATTTCAGATGTAAAGAAGACTAGTTTCAAAGTTGCTAATCTTGTGCCTGGTACTGAATACTTCTTCAGAGTAACCGCAGTCAATGAATATGGTCCAGGAGTTCCAACAGATACACCAAAGCCAATCATGGCAACCGATCCATTAAGTAAGTATTTATTAATGTAGCTCTCTACCCAACAAATTGCAATACCGACATTTCTTTAGGTAATAAGAAATGATAAGTATTTGTGCACCAAATATAAATAGTATGTCAATTGAAAGCAGACATTAAGAAGCTTTAGAAATCTATATTATTATGCCATACATTTGCTGCCATTATTAGAACCATCATGATGAATTTCATGCATTAAAAGAATTAAGGAAATACTGGATTACGTACATAAAGCATATCCAATACAATGGTGCCACCAAGATAAGAATTTAGAGTAGAAATCCAGAAGTCCAGGACTCCAGCTTAGTAGAATTAACAAAAGAACCCAAATGTGGCAGGCTGGCTTACCTGTATGTAGTATGTATGCCTGTGTGTAGTCATCATATGTCTTATGCCACAGATTAGACCTTTTTATCACTTGGAGTCATTTTAGCTATTTAGCCGTGTGTTATTAGGTCTTGAATTATCAACCTGTATTTGTATGCCCATGTACCGGGAACTAAGTCCAGGTTCATGTCTGTGTGACTTATTTATTTATTTGGTAAATGTATGTAGCTGAGTAACACATATAAGATGAAACTGTAGGCAAGGTATGTGCAAAAATTGCACTGATATTAATAGGACTTACTCCCACATCTGTTGGGGTGTGTTGTAGGTGTAACTATAGTTTTAAATTGTCATCAACTATTCAGTCTGGGTTCTCTGGTCATGCATACCATTTGTTGACAAATTAAAACCTTTCAGTTTAGAAGTTTTCAATGCACTATGTTACCACAGAATAGCTACATGGTAGATTAAAAAAAGGGTTTTCAGAGACCAAATAAACCAGAATAGTGGTACTATGGAGTTTCAGAATCACTATCTTGTAATTTATTTATTCAGTAGAACATCTAACCTGATTAAATTGTTAATGGGATTTAAAGAACATAATAATTAACCATAGGAAGTTGCCATGATCTTAGGAATAATTTGATTCAAGCAACTGCTGGTTAGAATTTTTATATTTTACTTTTTATTCTTCCCTGTTTTATTCTTAAGGCGAACCTGATCCTCCAAGGAAACTTGAAGTGACTGAAATTACCAAGAACAGTGCCACGTTAGGCTGGCTGCCACCACTGCGTGACGGTGGTGCCAAAATTGATGGGTACATTATTTCATATCAACAAGAAGGGCAAGCTGCTGATCACTGGACACAGTACTCTGTTGTAAAAGATCTGAATATTGTTGTTGCTGGCCTAAAGGAAAAAAAGAAATATAAATTTAGAGTGGCTGCTAGAAATGCTGTTGGAGTAAGTTTACCAAGAGAAACAGAAGGCATGTTTGAAATCAAAGAACAACTCAGTAAGTAATTATGATCATTATTTTTTATTTATGTCTTTATTTAAATCAATTTATATGACAGCCCATCTCACTAATGCAACTCTGGGTGGCTAATAAAAGTTTAAAAATACAGTATAAAAATACTTACCATGATCAACTAAAAACAAAAAGGGGCTGACAAAGAAACCCTGCACAAGTACTGTGGGCTCAATTATTCTCCTGACCCACATGGCTAGGAAAATAGCCAGATCTTCAAGGCTTTCCAAAAAGTAAGCAGGATTGGGGCCAACCTAATCACAGGTGACATGGTATTCCAGAGGGCAAATGCAGGTACAGAAAAGGCACACTTCCTGGGTCCTGCTAGATGACAGTCTCTGATTGATGAGACCTGGAGCATAGCCCTCTTGCCTGACCTAATGAGAAAGGTAGAGATGATAGGAGTATGGTGTTCCTTCAGTTACCCTAGTCTCATGCCATGCAGGGCTTTATAAGTAATAATCAGCACCTTGAACTGCACCCAGAAACAAACTGGGAGCCAGTGTAGCTCACAGAGCAAAGGTATAGGAGCAGCATAATGAGGTTTGCATGTGCCGCTGCATTTTGGACCAACTGAGACTTCCAGATGTTCTTCAAGGGCATCCCCACATACAGCACATTGCGGTAATCTATTCAGGAGGTGACCAATACATAAGTGACTGTGTGCAGTGCCTCTTGATCCAGGAAAGGGTGCAATTTGGTATGACTGCCACCTTATCTTTGAATAGGAGCCATGAGTCCAGAAGAATCCCAGATTGTGCATTGGTTCTGTCTAGGGTAGTACAACCCTGTGCAGAACTAAAGATGGAAAATCACCAGATCCAGGAGGCCCTAAAACCCAAAGTCACTTTATTTTGCTAAGGTTGAGTTGAAGCCTGCTTTTCCCCTTCCGGACCCCGCCCCCCCCCAACATGAGTCACTCATGACGTCTAGATCATGAAAACTAGCAGAAGCCTGAGATTTGGTTTTTAAAAAATTAAACACTTTGCTTTTATGATTGATATAGTAATATGACATCAGTTGAAGATTTTGTAGAATTATAAATGTGAAATACAAAGTGACTGAGTTGTTCACTTCATTCATTTTATTTGCCTCAAATGTGAGTTTTCCTTTGTTGAATTTTAATTGCAGTGCCACCTAAAATTCTGATGCCAGATCATATCGCTATAAAAGCTGGGCAGAAACTCAGAATTGAAGCACATGTTTATGGGAAACCTCACCCGACCTGTAAATGGATGAAAGCAGACGAAGATGTGCTTACTTCTAGTCGCCTGGCAGTGCATAAAGCAGAGGGCACTTCAGTTCTCATTATTAAGGATGTAACTAGGAAAGACAGTGATTACTACAGTCTAACAGCAGAAAACAGCTCTGGAGTAGCTACTCAGAAAATCAGAGTCGTTGTCATGGGTATGCTTGATTTTCTTCTCCAAGCTTGAGCCCTTACATATTTATCTTTTATGTGTTCATCAAAATCTGTATTAACTTGCATCTATATTTTTATATCTTCCTATAGATATCCCTGGCCCGCCTCAGCCACCGTTTGAAATTTCTGATATAGATGCTGATGCCTGTAGTTTGTCCTGGCATATCCCTCTTGAAGATGGTGGTAGTAACATCACTAACTACGTGGTTGAAAAGTGTGATGTCAGCCGAGGTGACTGGATCACAGCAATAGCTTCTGTTACAAAAACAAATTGCAGACTTGGAAAACTGACCCCTGGGCAAGAATACATGTTCCGTGTTCGTGCTGAGAACCGATTTGGCATTTCTGAGCCGCTTCAGTCTGATAAGATGGTTGCAAAGTTTCCATTTGGTATGTCTGACTCGGACTATGCTGCTCTCCTTATTAGGATATTTGTTGAACCCTGCTAGCGTTATTTTTAAAAACATCTCTTCTGTTTTACTGCAGATGTCCCCAGCGAACCCAAAAATGCACGTGTTACCAAAGTAAACAAGGATTGCATTTTTGTGGCCTGGGACAAGCCAGACAGTGATGGAGGCAGTCCAATAACTGGATATCTCATTGAGCGTAAAGAAAGGAACAGTCTGCTGTGGGTCAAGGCCAACGATACCCCTGTGCGATCCACTGAGTACCCATGCACAAACCTGATTGAAGGGCTGGAATACACATTTAGAATCTATGCTCTGAACAAAGCAGGGGCGAGCAAGCCTAGCAAACCAACAGATTTTGTAACTGCAAGAATGCCAATTGGTAAGTAAAACGTTTTGCATATATAGTAGACCAATAGAAGTTGTTAGTATTGATACTAAGGCCTGTTCCACAAATTCAGTAATATCAGATATAAATATTCCACACTTCAAAGCCTCATTGGTTTCAGAAGGAGAGTTAAGGATGTACTTATATATGTTCCACTCAGATTTTATGTTTGCTGGATCATGCCCACAGTTTGTTTCTTCTTTGTTCTCTAGATTTTATAAAACTCATTAAAATATGCAACGTTTGCTCAGTCTACATGGCATTTTAATACTTCTCAAAGAAGGTGCATTCTGTATCTTTTTTAAGAATTGCAGTTACACAGGGGCTAAACATGATCTCACTTGTTTTTTTAGATCCTCCTGGTAAACCTGAAGTTATTGATGTGACAAAGAGTGCTGTGTCTCTTGTCTGGGCAAGACCAAAACATGATGGTGGTAGCAAGATAATTGGATACTATGTTGAAGCCTGTAAGCTGCCAGGTGTTAAATGGGTCCGGTGCAATTCTACTCCCCATCAGATCCCTCAAGAAGAGTACACCGCAACTGATTTGGAGGAAAATGCTCAGTACCAATTCAGAGCAATAGCAAAAACAGCAATAAACATTAGCGGGCCCTCTGAACCTTCAGATCCAATAACTGTTCGTGCAGAAAATGGTAAGGAATATTTTAACTAATATTAAAGCTGAGCTTCATCCTTCTCACAAAGTGGTCTTCACCATTCTTTCGTTTATTTATTATTTATTTATTTTTTACTTTTCAGTACCACCAAAGATAGAGCTTGGTGTAGGTATGAAATCCTTACTTGTAGTAAAGGCTGGAACCAATGTTTGCCTGGAAGCAAATGTATATGGTAAACCTATGCCAACTGTTACTTGGAAGAAAGAAGGGGAGGTTCTAAAACCAGCAGAAGGAATTAAGATCACCACCAAGAGAAACTTGTCTACTGTGGACCTCTTTGGCGTCGTTAGAAGGCAGACAGGAGACTATAGTATTACTGCTGAGAATGCAAGTGGTTCCAAGTCAGCAACTATAAAGCTTAAAGTATTAGGTAAGTTAAAGATTAATGAGAACTATGTTATTTATCCTTTTAAAAAGTGATAGATATAGAATTTTACTCTCAAACAATTGTGTTTTTCAGACAAACCTGGTCCTCCAGCTTCAGTCAAGATTACAAATATGTATGCAGATCGAGCAATGCTTTCTTGGGAACCTCCTCTTGAAGATGGGGGGTCAGACATTACCAACTACATTGTTGATAAACGTGAAACAAGTAGACCCAACTGGGCTCAAGTCACTGCAAATGTCCCAATCACTAGTTGCAGTGTTGAAAAACTGATTGAAGGACATGAGTACCAATTCCGCATTTCTGCTGAGAACAAATATGGAGTTGGTGATCCAATCTTAACTGAAAATGCAGTGGCTAAAAACCCATATGGTAAGCACATCTTAGTAACTCCTTCAGTCTAATTGTTACTGAGTTATAGCTTAACAACTGCTTAAGTACACTTCAAATATTTATTTTTAGATGTACCTGGGCCTTGTGATCCACCAATAATTAGTAATATAACAAAGGACTTCATGACTGTAAGCTGGAAACCTCCTGCTGATGATGGTGGCTCCCCTATAACTGGATATATTGTTGAGAAACGTGAAACTAAGGCTCTTAACTGGACAAAAGTGAATAGAAAGCCAGTTATTGAAAGAACTATAAAGGCCACTGGACTCCAAGAAGGAACAGAATATGAATATAGAGTCATTGCCTTCAATAAAGCTGGACCAGGCAAACCTAGTGGAGCATCTAAGGCAGTATATGCTCGTGATCCTCAGTGTAAGTTCACACACACACACATCATTTTCTATGGCTGTGTCCAAATGTTTTTGCAGTATATAACTGTGCTTTTATTTTTATTCCCAGATCCTCCTGGGCCACCAGCCTTCCCAAAAGTTGTTGATTCTACACGTAGCTCTATCAGCCTGTCTTGGGGCAAACCAGCATATGATGGTGGAAGCCCCATTATTGGCTATCTCGTTGAAGTGAAACGAGTTGACACAGAAAACTGGGTCCGATGCAATTTGCCAAAGAATTTGCCAGATACACATTATGTAGTGACTGGACTTACAGAGAACACGGAATATCAGTTCCGTGTTTATGCTGTCAATAAGATTGGCTACAGCGACCCAAGTGATGTACCTGATACGCACCTTGCCAAAGACATTCTAAGTGAGTACCTGGAAAAGAAACTGAATTGGTGGCTTTAATCCAGGGCAAGGGACTCCACTTGTGAATTCCTATAAAGCTGGTATAGTTTATAGGTTTACCATTGTCTTTCAGTTGCCCTCAACAATGAAACAATCTGGGCTGATTGCTCTGTTCCTAAAAAACTTGTTTTGTATAAAACACTCTGCTTTTCATGCCACCCATAATATCAGTATTTTTCCTTACTGAAAACATTGTTCACCCTTCTAGTTTAAGAAAATGTTTTTTCTCTTTCTGGATGATACTCAGAAGGCAACACAACAGTATGTATGTATCCCAACTTGGTTGGAAGCCTGGAATGTCAAGTAATATGGTTAATTCAAGACTCTGTTCAGAAGGAAGTAAGAATTAGAATATGAAAAGCTTCTGTACTCTTTTGGTTAAACAGCATGCAGTCTGAAAACTAGAAGGGAAGTCTGAAAGAACTTTTAGAAGAATTTTCTCTTTATGCTTCCTAACCATCATTTTCCGGTTTTTAATTCACTCTGCCTCATTCACTTTATATTTTCAAATCTTCTTTCAAACACTTGATTTATGTATATCTTCTCTTTGAAATGCAGTTCCACCTGAAGGAGAACTTGATGCTGAATTGAGGAAAGTCCTTGTGTTACGTGCTGGAGTCACTATGAGGATTTATGTGCCGGTAAGAGGACGGCCACCTCCAAAGATTTTTTGGACTAAAGTGGGTGCCAACATAAGAGATCGGCAAGGAATGGACATCAAATCAACTGATTTTGACACTTTCCTGCGCTGTGAAAATGTCAATAAGTATGATGCTGGAAAATACGTCCTGCATTTAGAGAACAGCTGTGGCAAAAAGTCATACACCATTGTAGTCAAAGTGCTTGGTAAGTGCTACAATCATGCTGTCTATCTGTCTAAATACACACAACTTTTCAAAACACAATAGTTCCAAAATCACACATTTCTTCTGACATTATTTGTGAAAATATTTTATATTTTAGTCAATAATTGCAGTTGTTAACTTGTTTCAATGCAGATACTCCTGGTCCCCCTATTAATCTGGTTGTAAAAGAAGCATCTAAAGATTCTGCTTTCATCTCTTGGGAGCCTCCTCTAATAGATGGTGGCAGCCCAGTGAAGAATTATGTGGTTGAAAAACGTGATGCAGAGAGAAAATCATGGTCCACCGTGGCTACAGAATGTCCAAAAACTAGCTTTAGGGTCTCTAACTTAGAAGAAGGCAAATCCTATTTCTTCAGAGTTTTTGCTGAAAATGAATATGGCATAGGTGATCCCTGTGAAACTCATGATGCTGTTAAAGCTTCAGGTAAGACGATTCTTCTCCTACTGAATTATTAAAAGTCACTTGTCTTTTAAAGTCTCTGATTTTATTTAGAACCTTTTTAGTGTGTGTGTGTGTGTGTGTGTATGTATGTATGAGTTTTTGCTGAAAATGAATATGGCATAGGTGATCCCTGTGAAACTCATGATGCTGTTAAAGCTTCAGGTAAGACGATTCTTCTCCTACTGAATTATTAAAAGTCACTTGTCTTTTAAAGTCTCTGATTTTATTTAGAACCTTTTTAGTGTGTGTGTGTGTGTGTGTGTGTGTGTGTATGTATGTATGTATGTGTTTATTTATTTATTTATTTATTCATTCATTCATTCATTCATTCATTCATTCATTCATTCATTCTTCCAATCAGAAACACCTGGACCTGTCGTAGACTTAAAGGCTCTGAATGTCACAAAGTCATCCTGCAATTTATCTTGGAAAAAGCCTATTAGTGATGGTGGAAGTCGTATTGAGGCATATATTGTTGAGCTCATGACTCCTGAAAACCAGTGGCGAGAAGTTATGAGATCAAAGAATCTCCACTACTCCACCAGAGACCTGAAAGAGGGAAAAGAATATCTTTTCAGAGTGAGAGCACAGAATGAAGCTGGGTACGGGACACCGAATGAAATTACAGTGCTGGCAAAGGACGATATTGGTGAGTAGATACCTACAGCGGTTCATTTATGGTACATATTGTGCATGTGATCATTGTGTTTAGTGGAGAATGAACCTTTCTTGCCGGTATGTTTTACAGTAAAAATAACAAAGCTACAGAAGATTCTTCCTTTTCATTGATTTATTGAAGAATAAAAGGGAAGGGAAGTCATTCTATTATCTGAACTGAACATGTAATGATTTGCTGTCTTTGGCTTATAGTGGCACCTGATCTTGATTTAAGAGACCTCCCAGGCTTGTGCTATTTAGCTAGAGAAGGAAGCTCTTTCCGTCTGAAAATTCCAATCAAAGGGAAGCCGGCACCAACTGTGACATGGAAGAAAGGAGAAGACCTTCCTCTTACTGAAACAGGAAGAGTTGCATTTGAAGCTACAGCAGTTAACACTTCGCTCCTTGTTCGTGACTGCCATAAAAATGATGCTGGAAAATATACAATCACCCTGAAGAATATTGCTGGTAGTAAAGAAGGCACTATTTCTGTAAAAGTGGTTGGCAAACCTGGAATTCCGACAGGCCCTGTGAAATTTGAAGAAATTACAGCTGATGCTATGACATTAAAGTGGGGTCCTCCCAAAGATGATGGTGGTTCAGAAATCACTAACTACATCCTTGAGAAGAGAGACAATGTGAATAATAAATGGGTGACGTGTGCATCTGCTGTGCAGAAAACTACCTTTAGAGTTACAAGACTTCATGAAGGCTGTGAATATACCTTCAGAATCAGTGCTGAAAATAAATATGGTGTAGGTGAAGGTCTAAAATCTGAACCTGTAATTGCAAGGCATCCTTTCGGTAAGCCTAAAATAATAAACTTGCTCTGAAGTATTTTGGGGCAGGGTGGTGATTCCTCTGCATCTTTGAGTGACTTAATCTAATTTTATCTTATTTTCTAGATGTTCCTGATGCTCCTCCACCACCCAAAATTGTTGAAGTTAGGCATGATTCTGCATCTCTAACATGGACAGACCCTAAAAAGACTGGTGGCTCACCAATAACAGGTATCCCTTTTAAGATTCATTTTACTTAAAATTTCCCCAAAGTTTACTTTCATTTTAATTAATTTTAATTAAGTTTAATTTTAATTAATTTAATTAATTTAATCAATCAATCAATACGCATGTTAATGAATTAATACACATTTAATTAATTTGATTATTTAATTAATTAATTTAATTAATTCCCCTTTTCCTTCCTCGTAGTGCAGGCTTTCCTTTTGAGCACAGTAGGTAACGTAAAAACAAAAAAGCTGGCAATGTATAACAATAGTACTTACTAATATTTAGAATGCAAAATAATTTAAACAGATTCTGTATTATTTTAAATTTATTTATTTAAATGATTTAAATGTAAATAAATGCATACAGCATACAAGTAACAACTTGTCAGATAACTTATGGTAGTGAGACAGATGTTTTAGAGGAAAATTAAGAAAGCTTATCCAGGTTTTTAAGGAGATGCAAATGGATAAACTATCTGGGGATTAGAAATGTAAAGGATGCTATAAGAAAAATGCTGGTTTTTATTAGTTCATTGGTACTTGTACTATTTACAATAATAAGCAAATCTTTCTTTGTTTCTCTGTAGGCTACCACCTTGAATGCAAAGAAAGAAACAGCATTTTGTGGAAACGAGCGAACAAGACTCCTCTAAGAATGAAAGATTTCAGAGTGACAGGACTAACTGAAGGCTTAGAATATGAATTCAGAGTAATGGCAATAAATCTAGCTGGAGTTGGTAAACCAAGTCTACCATCTGAACCAATTGTGGCCCTTGATCCAATTGGTAAGTTATCCTGTCTGTCTGTCTGTCTGTCTGTCTGTCAGTCAGTCTGTCTGTCTATCAAGTTAGAATTGGCAATATCCATCTTGCTACTCCTGTTTTATTGCTACTCTTTTCAGATCCCCCTGGGAAACCTGAAGTTATCAGTGTAACTAGAAACTCAGTAACTCTGGTCTGGACAGAACCAAAATATGATGGTGGACACAAATTAATTGGCTACATCGTGGAAAAACGTGATCTACCTTCCAAAACGTGGATGAAAGCAAATCATGTGAATGTTCCTGAATGTGCATTTACAGTAACCGACCTTTATGAAGGCTCAAAATATGACTTCAGAATTAGAGCAAAGAATACTGCTGGAGCCATTAGTCCACCATCTGAACCTACAGGAGCCATTACATGCAAGGATGAGTTCGGTATGTATTCTGTGTATTCCACTCCATAACACATCTCATTCAATTAATTTTAAGGGTATTTTTTTTCTCATTTTCTGAACTTTTTTTTTTTATTATTTGTTTTACAGAGGCACCAAGTATTGTTATTGATCCAACTATCAAGGAAGGCCTAACTATTAAAGCAGGAGACACCATTGCAATGTCTGCTATAAGCATTCTTGGCAAACCACTTCCAACTTCAGTGTGGTCGAAAGCAGGAAAAGACTTTAAGCCTTCAGAGACTGTTCATATTGAATCAACACCAACCTCCTCTACCCTTACTATCAAGTATGCTGCCAGAAAAGATTCGGGTGAATATACAATCACTGCAACTAATCCTTTTGGTACTAAAGAGGAACATGTGCATGTGACAGTTTTAGATGTACCAGGTCCCCCTGGACCAATTGAAGTCAGTAATGTCTCTGCTGAAAAAGCTACTCTCACATGGACTCCTCCTACAGAAGATGGTGGCTCCCCAATCAAGTCTTATGTGCTTGAAAAGAGAGAAACTAGCCGATTGCTATGGACTCAGGTTGCTGAAGACATCCAGTCTTGTAGACACGTTGTTTCTAAACTTATACAAGGAAATGAATACATATTCCGTGTCTCAGCTGTGAACCAGTATGGCAAAGGAGAACCATCTCAATCAGAGCCAGTTAAAATGGTGGACAGATTTGGTAAGCAAAACTGGTGAATAAGTTGTATAATAAATTTACTGCAATTTGTATAAAAATGTCAGTATTTTTCAAAATCATTTTTTTTCCTCCAGGCCCTCCTGGTCCTCCTGGTAAACCAGAAGTATCAAATGTTACAAAAAATAGTGTGACAGTGAACTGGAAGAGGCCAATAGATGATGGTGGCAGTGAAATAACAGGTTACCATGTGGAAAGAAGAGAAAAGAAAGGTGTGAGATGGATGAAAGTTTCAAAGAAGCCGGTGTCAGATCTTAGATTCAAAGTAACTGGACTACAAGAAGGAAATGAATATGAATTCCGTGTCAGTGCAGAAAACAGAGCAGGAATTGGACCACCAAGTGATGTTTCTCAATCAGTACTAACGAAGGATGCTGCATGTTAGTATGATTCTTGTACTTTGAAAAATTCTTTCATCTTTACTGCATTAATAGCATTATTGACTACAAAGTGTTTCTAATCTAAGCTTCTTCTTTTTTTGTCATTATTATAGATCCACCAGGACCTCCTTCAAATCCACGAGTAACTGACACAACAAGGACAAGTGCTAGCCTGGCATGGGGGAAACCTCATTATGATGGTGGACTTGATATTATTGGCTACATTGTAGAGCACCAGAAAGAAGGAGAAGAAACATGGGTGAAAGATACCACAGGAACTGCTCTAAGAATCACAGAATTCGTTGTTGCTAATCTCCACCCAGGAGCCAAATACAATTTCAGAATAAGTGCTATCAATGCTGCTGGTGTTGGTGAACCAGCAAAAATCCCAGATATTGAAATCAAGGAACGTGAAGTGGTTCCTGATTTTGAATTAGATGCTGAGCTGAGAAAAACTCTTGTCGTTAGAGCTGGATTAAGCATTAGGATATTTGTTCCAATTAGAGGACGCCCGACTCCTGAAGTTACATGGACTAAAGATGATATCCCACTTAAAGCACGGGCCAATATTGAAAATACAGATTCATTCACTCTCCTCATTATCACCGAATGCAATAGATATGATGCAGGAAAGTATGTAATGACACTTGAAAATGCTGCTGGCAAAAAGACTGGCTTTGTAAATGTGAAAGTTTTGGATACACCAGGGCCACCAATAAACCTGAAGCCCAGAGACATATCTAAAGATAGCATCACTCTCCACTGGGATATGCCTCTAATCGATGGAGGTTCACGTATAACAAATTACATAGTTGAAAAACGTGAATCCACACGCAAGTCATATTCAACTATCACAACAAAATGCCCAAAATGTTCCCTTAGGATTCCCAATTTGGCTGAAGGGTGTGAATATTACTTCAGAGTATTTGCTGAAAATGAATTTGGAATTGGTGAACCTGCTGAAACTCCTGAACCTATAAGAGCGACAGAAGCACCATCACCTCCAGACAGCCTTAATATTATGGATATCACAAGGAACTCAGTCAGCCTGGCTTGGCCAAAGCCAGAACATGATGGTGGTAGCAAGATTACCGGCTACGTAATTGAAGCACAGAAAAAAGGAGCAACTCAGTGGACACACATCACTACTGTGAAAGCATTAGAATGTGTGGTGAAGAATCTAACCGAAAATGAAGAATATACTTTCCAGGTTATGGCAGTCAACAGTGCTGGAAGAAGTGACCCGAGAGAAAGCAGGCCAGTTGTTGTTAAAGAGCAAATGATGCTTCCTGAATTTGATTTGCGTGGTATCTATCAGAAAACTGTAATTGCCAGAGCTGGTGACAACATCAAAGTTGAGATTCCTGTTCTTGGCCGCCCAAAGCCAACTGTCACCTGGAAAAAAGAAGATCAATTGCTGAAGCAAACACAAAGGGTAAACTATGAAAGTACGGCTACTGCAACAATTCTGAACATTAATGAATGCACAAGAAATGACAGTGGCAGATATCCGGTCTCTGCTAGAAACATTGTTGGTGAAGTTAGTGATGTCATAACTGTTCAAGTGCACGATGTCCCTGGACCACCCACGGGACCCATTAGATTTGAAGAAGTTTCATCTGATTTTGTCACGTTTTCATGGGAACCTCCACTAAATGATGGAGGGGTTCCAATTAGTAACTATATTGTAGAAATGCGCAAAACTGACAGTACCTCCTGGGCTGAGTTAGCGACCACTGTTATACGTACCACATATAAAGCTGCTCACCTGACTACTGGGATTGAGTACCAATTCCGTGTTAAAGCTCAGAACAGATATGGCTCCGGTCCAGCTATCAGTTCAGAGAATGTCATTGCTAGCTTCCCTTTCAAAGTTCCTGGGCCTCCAGGCACTCCTCAAGTCATTGCAGCCACGAAAGATTCAATTAGCATTAGCTGGCACGAGCCCCTTACAGATGGGGGAAGTCCAATTTTGGGATACCGCATTGAAAGAAAAGAACGGAACAGCATTCTTTGGCAGACTGTCAGCAAGGCCTTAATATCAGGCAACACCTTCAAATCAAGTGGGCTGGTGGATGGCATTGCATACGAATTCAGAGTCATTGCAGAGAATCTGGCAGGTAAAAGTAAACCAAGCAAGCCCTCTGAGCCAACCTTTGCTCTGGATCCTATTGATCCTCCTGGAAAGCCAGTTCCTGTAAACATAACAAGACATGCGGTAGCACTAAAGTGGACAAAACCTGAATATAGCGGAGGCTTTAAGATAACTGGCTACACTGTTGAAAAGAGAGATCTTCCAAATGGCCGGTGGCTAAAAGCAAACTTTAGCAACATCTTAGAAACTGAGTTCACTGTGAGTGGGCTTACCGAAGATGCTGCTTATGAATTCCGTGTCGTTGCTAGAAATGCTGCTGGAGCTGTTAGCCAGCCATCTGAGCCATCAGATGCAATAACATGCAGAGATGAAATTGAAGCACCGAGGATCATGGTTGATGCTAAATACAAAGACACTCTAGTAGTAAAAGCAGGTGAAATTTTCAGACTTGAAGCTGATGTTGCAGGTCGACCTCCACCAACTCTAACATGGACAAAAGAAGACAAGGAACTTGAGGATACAGCAAAATTGGAAATTAAAATAGCAGATTTCTCAACAGTTCTCACCAATAAGGACTCCACAAGGAGGGATGGTGGTGCATACATACTTACAGCATCCAATCCAGGTGGCTTTGCAAAACACATTTTCAATGTCAAAGTTCTAGATAGACCTGGCCCTCCACAGGGACCTTTGGCAGTATCTGATGTTACCATGGATAAATGTGTCCTGTCATGGTTGCCACCTTTAGATGATGGAGGTGCCAGTATTGACCACTACGTTGTTGAAAAACGTGAAACAAGTAGATTGGCATGGACTTCTGTAGCTACAGAAGTTCCTGTAACAAAACTGAAGGTCACAAAGCTATTGAAAGGCAACGAATATGTGTTCCGTGTAATGGCTGTTAATAAATATGGAGTTGGTGAAGCCCTAGAATCAGAGCCTGTCCTTGCAGTGAATCCTTATGTAGTACCTGATCCTCCCAAGACACCTGAAGTTACAGCTATTACCAAAGATTCTATGGTTGTATGCTGGGGACAACCTGATTCCGATGGAGGAAGTCCTATAACCAATTACATTATAGAACGTCGTGACAGAACTGGATTACGCTGGGTGAAATGTAATAAGCGGGTGGTGACTGATTTGCGTTACAAAGTTTCTGGACTCACAGAAGGCCATGAGTATGAATACCGAGTAAAGGCTGAAAATGCTGCTGGTGTAAGTGAGCCAAGTCCTAGCAGTCAATTCTACAAAGCTTGTGATACTCTTTTTAAACCTGGTCCACCTGGTAATCCTCGTGTCTTAGATACAAGCAGGTCATCAATTACAATTGCTTGGAATAAACCCGTATATGATGGTGGTTCAGAAATCACTGGCTATATGGTTGAAACAGCATTACCTGATGAAGATGAGTGGAAAATTGTAACTCCACCAGCAGGTCTAAAGGCCACATCTTTTACCATCACTAATCTAAAAGAAAACCAGGAGTATAAAATCAGAATTTATGCCATGAATTCTGAAGGCATCGGTGAGCCTGCTCTTGTTCCTGGGACACCAAAAGCTGAAGAACGAATGCTTCCCCCTGAGATTGAACTTGATGCAGAGCTGCGTAAAATTGTGACACTTCGAGCTTGTTGTACTTTGAGACTTTTTGTCCCAATTAAAGGAAGACCAACACCTGAAGTAAAATGGTCACGAGAACATGGAGAGTCTTTAGACAAAGCCACAATTGAATCCACAAGTTCTTATACTCTACTTACAGTTGGAAATGTGAATAGATTTGACAGTGGCAAATATATATTGACTATAGAAAACAGTTCAGGTAGCAAATCAGCATTTGTAATTGTAAGAGTCCTTGATACACCTGGTGCCCCACAGAATCTGAAAATAAAAGAGGTCACAATGTCATCTGTCACACTCACATGGGAACCTCCCCTCATAGATGGTGGCTCTAAAATAAAGAATTATATTGTTGAAAAGCGTGAAGCAACAAGAAAGGCATACTCTACTGTTATAGCCAATTGCCACAAGACCAGCTGGAAAGTAGACATGCTACAAGAAGGTTGCAGCTATTACTTCAGAGTTCTAGCTGAAAACGAATATGGAATAGGTCTTCCTGTTGAAACATCTGAATCAGTTAAAGCGTCTGAGAGGCCTCTTCCTCCAGGAAAAATAACTTTATTAGATGTGACAAGAAACAGTGTGTCTCTGAGTTGGGAAAAACCTGAGCATGATGGAGGAAGCAGAATTTTGGGCTACATTGTAGAAATGCAAAGCAAAGGCAGTGACAGGTGGGCCACATGTGCCACTGTTAAAGTTACTGAAGCTACTATAACAGGATTGATCCAAGGGGAAGAATATTCTTTCCGTGTTTCAGCACAAAATGAAAAAGGAATCAGTGATCCTCGACAACTGAGCGTACCTGTCATTGCAAAAGATCTTGTGATACCTCCAGCCTTCAAACTCTTGTTTACCACATTCAGTGTACTAGCAGGCGAAGACTTAAAGGTTGATGTTCCATTTGTTGGTCGACCCAAGCCAACTATAACATGGCTTAAGGATAATGTGCCACTAAGACAAACTACTAGAGTAAATGAAGAAAATACAGAAAACAACACAGTGCTAACAATAAAGGAAGCATGTAAAGAAGATGTTGGACAATATCTGGTAAAACTTTCAAATTCTGCAGGAGAAGCAACTGAAATTCTTAGTATTATTGTCCTTGATAAGCCAGGCCCCCCCACTGGACCAGTGAAGATGGATGAAGTAACTGCAGATAGCATTACCATTTCTTGGGAGCCACCCAAATATGATGGTGGCAGTTCCATCAACAATTATATTGTAGAAAAGCGTGATACATCCACTACTGCTTGGCAGATTGTTTCAGCAACTGTTGCACGAACAACTCTAAAAGTGGGTAGATTAAAGACTGGAACTGAATATCAGTTCAGAATTGCTGCTGAAAACAGATATGGAAAAAGTACATATCTCACGTCACAGCCTGTGGTTGCCCAATATCCATACAAACTACCTGGCCCGCCTGGAACTCCGTATGTACCAGAAATCTCCAGAGATTCCATGGTGGTACATTGGCATGAGCCAGTCAGCGATGGTGGCAGCAGAATTATTGGCTATCATTTGGAGCGCAAAGAAAGAAATAGCATCCTATGGGTTAAACTGAACAAAACAGCAATTCCTGACACTAAATTTAAAACAACTGGACTTGAAGAGGGACTGGAATATGAATTCAGAGTTTATGCAGAAAATATTGTTGGCATTGGAAAGGCAAGCAAAAGTTCAGAATGTTACACAGCTCATGATCCTTGTGATCCTCCCGGCCGTCCAGAACCTATAATTGTCACAAGAAATTCTGTTACTCTTCAGTGGAAGAAACCAGAGTATGATGGTGGAAGTAAGATCACAGGCTACATTGTGGAAAAGAAAGAATTACCAGAAGGCCGCTGGATGAAAGCAAGTTTTACTAACGTGATTGAGACTCAATTTACAGTAACTGGCCTGGTTGAGAATCAAAGGTATGAGTTCCGTGTGATTGCACGTAACGCAGCAGGTGTTTTCAGTGAGCCCTCTGAAAGTTCAGGGGCTATCACAGTGAAAGATGAAGTAGAACCACCTCGTATAAGTATGGATCCCAAGTTTAAAGAAACACTTGTAGTGCATGCTGGTGAATCATTTAAGATTGATGCTGATGTTTATGGAAAACCGCTGCCTTCTGTTCAGTGGCTGAAAGGTGACAAGGAACTAGCAAACACAGCACGTTTGGATATAAAAAGTACTGACTTTGCCACATGCCTAAGTATAAAGGAAGCTGTTCGTGTTGACAGTGGACATTATACTTTGTTGGTGAAGAATGTTGCAGGTGAAAAAACTGCTTCTATTCATGTCAAAGTTCTCGACAGACCTGGACCACCTGAAGGGCCTGTTCTTATAACAGGGACTACTGCTGAAAAATGTATGCTATCATGGAAGCCGCCATTGCAGGATGGAGGCAGTGACATTTCACATTATATTGTTGAAAGAAGAGAAACAAGTCGCTTAGTTTGGACTTTAGTTGATGCCAATGTACAAACTCTTGGTTGCAAAGTTACTAAACTCTTGGAAGGCAATGAATATATCTTCCGTATCATGGCTGTCAATAAATACGGTGTCGGCGAACCTCTTGAATCTGAGCCTGTACTTGCAAAAAATCCTTTTGTAGTACCACTTCCACCAAAGGCTCCAGAAGTTTCAGCTGTTACCAAGGATTCTATGATTGTTGTATGGGACAGACCAGCTTCTGATGGTGGCAGTGAAATTTTGGGATATGTGCTAGAAAAGCGTGACAAAGAAGGCATTCGGTGGACAAGATGTAACAAGCGTTTGATAAGTGAACTTCGATATCGAGTCACAGGACTTCTGGAAAATCATGACTATGAATATAGAGTCTCAGCTGAAAATGCAGCTGGTCTCAGTGAACCCAGTCCACCTTCTACCTACTATAAAGCTTGTGACCCTATTTATAAACCAGGTCCACCAAATAACCCCAAAGCAATAGATGTTACAAGATCTTCAGTTTTCCTTTCTTGGGGTAAACCAATCTATGACGGTGGCTCTGAAATTCAAGGATACATTGTTGAAGCATGTGATGTAAGTGTTGGGGAGTGGGCAATTTGTACACCACCAACTGGAATTAAGAAAACAAATATGGAAGTAGAAAAATTGTTGGAAAAACATGAATACAAATTCCGAATTTGTGCTGTTAATAAAGCAGGAGTGGGAGAGCATGCTGATGTTCCTGGAATCATCCTTGTTGAAGAAAAGTTGGAAGCTCCAGATCTTGACCTTGACTTAGAACTGAGAAAAGTGATCAATGTAAGAGCCGGTGGTTCATTAAGATTATTTGTTCCTATCAGAGGCCGTCCAACACCTGAAGTAAAATGGAGTAAAGTAGATGGTGATATCAGAGAAGCAGCTATTATTGACAGCACCAGCAGCTTCACCTCACTTGTTCTTGATAATGTGAATAGATTTGACTCTGGAAAATACACTCTTACTTTAGAAAATAGTAGTGGAACAAAGTCTGCCTTTGTCAGTGTAAGAGTCTTGGATACTCCCGGTCCTCCTGTCAACTTGAAAATTAAGGAGATCACCAAAGACTCCGTTTCGCTTTCATGGGAGCCTCCACTGATAGATGGCGGAGCTAAAATTAAAAATTATATAATTGAAAAGCGTGAAGCCACAAGAAAATCCTATGCAGCTGTTGTAACCAACTGCCATAAAACATCCTGGAAAATTGACCAGCTTCAAGAGGGCTGCTATTATTACTTCAGGGTTTCTGGAGAGAATGAATTTGGAATTGGCCTGCCTGCTGAAACAAGTGACCCAGTTAAAGTGGCTGAAGTTCCTCAACCTCCAGGAAAAATAACAGTGGATGATGTTACGAGAAACAGTGTTTCATTGAGCTGGGCAAAGCCTGAACATGATGGTGGAAGTAAAATCTTACAGTACATTGTAGAAATGCAAGTTAAGGGTAGTGACAAATGGTCAGAGTGTACACGTGTTAAAGTTCTTGAAGCAGTTATTACTAACCTAACCCAGGGAGGAGAATATCTCTTTAGAGTAATGGCTGTAAATGAAAAAGGTAGGAGTGATCCACGATCACTTGCAGTACCAATAACTGCTAAGGATCTTGTTATTGAACCAGATGTCAGACCAGCATTCCATAGTTACAGTATACAAGTGGGACATGATCTGAAGATTGAAATACCAATATCTGGTCGACCTAAGCCTACTATTTCTTGGACCAAAGACGGCACTCCATTAAAACAGACAACTAGAGTTAATGTAACTGATTCACCTAATCTTACCGTTCTAAATATTAAAGAAGCAAATAAAGAGGACAGTGGAATATATGACATTGCAGTTGCTAATGTTGTTGGACAAAAATCTGCATCTATTGAAATTATAACGCTAGATAAACCAGATCCTCCTAAAGGCCCAGTTAAATTTGAAGATATTAGTGCTGAAAGTGTCACATTATCATGGAATCCTCCAGTATATACAGGTGGTTGCCAGATTACTAATTACATTGTTCATAAGAGAGATACAACCACTACTTTATGGGAAGTAGTTTCAGCTACTGTTGCAAGAACTACTTTGAAAGTGACTAGGCTGAAAACTGGGTCAGAATATCAATTTAGAATATTTGCGGAAAATAGATATGGGCAGAGTTTTGCCCTGGAATCTGATCCGGTTGTTGCTCAATATCCCTACAAAGAACCAGGCCCCCCTGGGACACCATTTGTGACAGTAGCTACAAAAGACTCTATGATTGTGCAATGGCATGAACCGATTAATGACGGTGGAAGTAGAATTCTAGGTTATCATCTTGAACGAAAGGAAAGAAACAGCATTTTGTGGACAAAAGCAAACAAGGCCATTATTCCAGATACACATTATAAAACAACTAATCTTGAAGAAAACATCGAATATGAATTTAGAGTTTCTGCAGAAAATATTGTTGGTGTAGGCAAAGCAAGCAAAGTTTCAGAATGCTATATAGCACGTGACGCATGTGATCCACCAGGATGTCCTGAAGCTATTGTTGTTACAAGAAGCGCCATCACACTGCAGTGGACTAAGCCAGAATATGATGGTGGCAGCAAAATAACAGGCTATGTAGTAGAAAAACGTGATTTGCCTGATGGTCGTTGGATGAAAGCAAGCTTTACCAATGTCACTGAAACTCAGTTTACTGTGACAGGTCTTACTGAAGACCAGCGATATGAATTTAGAGTAATTGCAAGGAATGCTGCTGGAGCTGTAAGCAAACCTTCTGACAGCACAGGGCCTATAACAGCAAAAGATGAAGTTGAACTTCCAAGAATTTCCATGGATCCAAAATACAAAGATACCATTGTTGTAAATGCTGGTGAAACTTTCAAACTTGAAGCTGATGTACATGGGAAACCAATTCCTACTATTATGTGGTTGAAAGGAGATAAGGTCCTTGAAGATACTGCTCGATATGAAATAAGGAATACAGATTTCAAGGCTCTGATTACTGTGAAAGATGCTATACGTGTTGACGGCGGGCAGTATATTTTGCAGGCCTCCAATGTTGCAGGAACAAAATCAGTACCCATAACAGTAAAAGTACTAGATAGGCCAGGGCCTCCAGAGAGTATTCAAATTTCTGGAGTTACTTCTGAAAAGTGTTCCTTAGCATGGGCTCCACCAATCCATGATGGTGGCAGTGACATTTCTCACTACATAATTGAGAAGAGAGAAACTAGTCGTCTTGCTTGGACAGTTGTTGCCTCAGATGCTGTAGCCACAATGCTAAAAGTAACCAAACTTCTGGAAGGCAATGAATATGTCTTCCGCATAATGGCAGTTAATAAATATGGAGTTGGTGAACCTTTGGAATCTGCACCAGTACTTATGAAAAGCCCATTTGTTGTTCCTGGTCCACCAACGTATCTTGAAGTGACCAATATTACGAAGGATTCTATGACAGTCTCCTGGCATCGTCCAGGTAGTGATGGTGGCAGTGAAATTATTGGCTACATTGTGGAAAAAAGAGATAGAACTGGTATTAGATGGGTGAAATGTAATAAACGAAGAATTACAGATTTACGTTTAAGAGTCACAGGACTAACTGAAGATCACGAATATGAATTTAGAGTATCTGCTGAAAATATAGCTGGAATTGGTGAACCAAGTCAAGTTACTCCATACTGGAAAGCATGTGATCCTATGTTCAAGCCTGGTCCACCCACTAATGCCCATGTTGTTGATACAACCAAGAATTCAATCACAGCGGCATGGGGTAAACCTATTTATGACGGTGGCTGTGAAATCCTGGGATATATTGTAGAAATCTGCAAAGCTGATGATGAAGAATGGGCAATAGTTACTCCACAGACTGGTCTGAAAGTCAATCGTTTTGAGATCAAGAAACTCATAGAACATCAAGAATACAAGCTAAGGGTGTGTGCTCTCAACAAAATAGGAGTCGGGGAGCCTGCAGCAATTCCTGGTATAGTGAAACCAGAAGATAAACTTGAAGCTCCTGAACTTGATATAGACTCAGAATTAAGGAAGGGAATTGTCGTTAGAGCTGGTAGCTCTGTCAGGATAAATATACCATTTAAAGGACGCCCCACTCCTGAAATCTCATGGTCTCGTGAAGAAGGGGAATTTACAGATAAAGTTCAAATTGAAAAAGGAATAAATTACACACAGCTATCCATTGATTATTGTGATAGAAATGATGCTGGGAAGTATATACTTAAACTGGAGAATAGCAGCGGTTTGAAGTCTGCATTTGTTACGGTTAAAGTACTTGACACACCAGGTCCACCACAAAATTTAATAGTCAAAGAAATAAGAAAAGACTATGCTGTATTGACATGGGAGCCTCCAGCTAATGATGGTGGAGCAAAGATAAAGAACTATGTCATTGATAAACGTGAGTCAACCAGAAAAGCATATGCAAATGTGACTGCAAAGTGTAACAAAACAAGCTTTAGAGTTGAAAACCTTACAGAAGGAAGCATTTATTATTTCAGAGTTATGGCCGAAAATGAATTTGGAATTGGTAGTCCAGCTGAAACTGCCGATGCTTCAAAAGCATCAGAGCCACCTCTACCTCCTGGAAAAGTGACACTCACTGATGTGACACAGAGAAGTGCATCGTTTATGTGGGAGAAGCCTGAACATGATGGAGGTAGCAGAATTTTGGGATACATTGTTGAAATGCAGCCAAAAGGATCTGATAAATGGAGTGTTGTTACTGAAACCAAAGTCTGCAATGCAGTTGTATCTGGTTTGAGTTCTGGACAGGAATACCAGTTCCGTGTCATGGCATACAATGAAAAAGGCAAAAGTGATCCTAAGCCACTGGCAGTTCCTGTGATTGCCAAAGATCAGACAATTCAGCCCAGTTTCAAACTGATGTTCAACACATATACTGTGCAAGCTGGAGAAGATCTTAAAGTAGAAATTCCCTTTATAGCTCGACCAAAGCCTACTATCACTTGGGAGAAAGATGGCCAGCCTCTAAAACAGACAACCAGATTACATGTTGAAGATACAGCAACTTCGACTACATTGGTGATTAAAGAAAGCAACAAGGATGACTTTGGAAAATATACTGTAACAGCAACCAACATCGCAGGCACAGCAACAGAGCACCTTAGTATAATTGTGCTAGAAAAGCCTGGCCCACCCCAAGGCCCTGTCCGCTTTGATGAAGTTAGCTCAAACTTTGTGGTCTTCTCATGGGAACCACCAGCATATACAGGTGGCTGTCAGATATCCAACTACATTGTCGAGAAACGTGACACTACGACCACTGTTTGGCATATAGTATCAGCAATGGTTGCAAGGACAACTATTAAAGTAACAAAACTTAAAACAGGTACTGAGTACCAGTTTAGAATTAGTGCTGAAAACCGATATGGAAAGAGCACTGCACTAGATTCTAAGCCAGTTCTTGTACAATACCCATACAAAGTACCAGGGCCACCAGGGACCCCATATGTCACTACAGCCACCAAAGACCACATGATAGTACAATGGCATGAACCAGTTAATGATGGAGGAAGCAAAGTTCTTGGATATCATCTAGAACGTAAAGATAAAAATAGCATCCTTTGGGCAAAGGTGCATAAGGCCCTTATTCAGGACACAAAATATAAAACAGAAGGTCTTGAAGAAGGTCTTGAATATGAATTCAGAGTTTCTGCTGAAAACATTGTTGGAATAGGTAAAGTTAGCAAATGTTCCGAACTGTATGTTGCTCGGGATGCTTGTGGCCCACCAGGCCGTCCAGATGCCATTGTGATCACTAGAAATTACGTAACGCTAAAATGGAAAAAACCCGAATATGATGGTGGTAGCAGAATAACTGGATACATTGTGGAAAAGCAAGAACTACCTGACGGCCGTTGGATGAAGGCCAGTTTTACAAATGTAATAGAAACTGAGTTTACAGTAAGCGGCCTTGTAGAAGACCAAAGATATGAATTCAGAGTAATTGCAAGAAATGCAGCTGGTAGCTTAAGTGAACCCTCTGAAAGCACAGGGCCAATTATTGCTAGAGATGAAATAGAAGCACCAAGAGCTTCCCTGGATCCTAAATATAAAGATCTCATTGTTGTTCGTGCGGGAGAAACATTTGTTCTTGAGGCTGACATCCATGGAAAACCTGTTCCTAATATTATATGGTCAAAAGATGGGAAAGAATTTGAAGAAGCAACTGCAAGAATGGAAATTAAGTCTTCAATTGAAAGAACAACTCTCACAGTCAAAGACTGTGTCAGAATAGATGGAGGCATTTACACACTTACACTGAGTAATGTTGGTGGCACAAAATCAATACCAATCACTGTAAAAGTGCTTGACAGACCTGGACCCCCAGAAGCCCCTTTGAAAGTTACAGGTGTGACTGCAGAAAAATGTTACCTTGCATGGGGACCACCTTTACAAGATGGAGGTGCTAGCATTTCACATTACATTATAGAAAAAAGAGAGACAAGCCGGCTTTCATGGACACAAGTGTCATCTGATGTTCAAGCTCTGAATCACAAAGTAACCAAACTTCTTTCTGGCAATGAATACATTTTCCGTGTAATGGCTGTTAATAAATATGGAATTGGTGATCCTCTAGAATCAGAACCTGTGTTGGCATGCAATCCATATAAGCCTCCAGGTCCTCCTTCAACACCTGAAGCTTCTGCAATCACAAAAGATTCTATGATTGTATCCTGGTGTCGCCCAACCGACAATGGTGGAGCTGAAATTGAAGGTTATATACTAGAAAAGCGAGACAAAGATGGCATTAGATGGACCAAGTGCAATAAAAAGACACTGACAGACTTAAGATTGAGAGTAACTGGACTGACAGATGGTCATTTCTATGAATTTAGAGTTTCTGCTGAAAATGCTGCTGGTATTGGTGAACCCAGTGAACCATCCATTTTCTACCGTGCTTGTGATGCATTATATCCACCAGGCCCTCCAAACAATCCAAAGGTAACAGATACTTCCAGATCATCTGTGTCCCTTGCATGGAGCAAACCTGTTTATGATGGTGGTGCTCCTGTTAAAGGATATATTGTAGAATTTAAAGAAGCTACTGCTGATGAATGGACAACTTGCACACCCCCATCAGGTTTACAAGGAAAGCAATTCACAGTAACCAAACTTAAAGAAAATAGCGAGTACAACTTCCGCATTTGTGCCATCAACTCTGAAGGAGTTGGAGAACCAGCAACTATCCCTGGTAGTGTTGTTGCTGCTGAAAAAATGGAACCTCCTGAAATAGAACTCGATGCAGATCTCAGAAAAGTGGTCACCGTGCGTGCGAGCGGCACATTGCGCTTGTTTGTCACCATTAAAGGAAGGCCAGAGCCAGAAGTGAAATGGGAAAAAGCAGAAGGCACTCTGAGTGACAGAGCCCAGATTGAGGTAACCAGTTCATATACAATGTTAGTAATTGATAATGTGAACAGATTTGACAGTGGAAAATATAACCTGACTTTGGAAAACAACAGTGGCAAGAAATCAGCATTTGTTAATGTGAGAGTGCTTGATACACCAAGTGCCCCTGTAAATTTGACCGTCAGAGAAGTAAAGAAAGATTTAGTGGCATTAGCTTGGGAGCCTCCACTTATTGATGGCGGAGCTAAAATTACAAATTACATAATTGAAAAACGTGAAACAACAAGAAAAGCCTATGCCACTGTTACAAATAATTGCAACAAGAATGTCTTCAGAATTGAACAGCTACAGGAAGGATGCAGCTACTACTTCCGGGTCTTAGCTGTAAATGAATATGGAGTTGGTTTGCCAGCAGAAACATCTGAACCAGTTAAGGTTTCTGAACCACCTTATCCACCTGGAAAAGTAACTCTTGTTGATGTTACGCGCCGCAGTGCTACTATTAAATGGGAGAAGCCAGAGAGTGATGGTGGCAGTAAAATAACTGGCTATGTAGTAGAAATGCAAACTAAAGGTAGTGAAAAATGGAGCACCTGTACCCAGGTTAAAACATTAGAAGCAACAATATCTGGATTAACTATGGGAGAAGAATACACTTTCCGTGTCTGTGCTGTTAATGAAAAAGGGAAGAGTGATCCAAGGCAGCTAGGCGTTCCAGTAGTTGCAAAGGACATTGAAATCCAGCCTTCTGTTGAGCTCCTTTTCAATACATTCAGTGTTAAAGCTGGTGAAGACCTTAAAATTGATGTACCCATCAGAGGAAGGCCAGTACCATCTGCCAGCTGGAAAAAGGATGGCATGCCTTTAAGAGAGACAACTAGAGTGAATGTCCAAACTTCAAAAACATCAACATCACTAGTAATCAAAGAAGCTTCAAGAGAGGATGTAGGAAACTATGAATTAAATGTTGCAAGCAGTGCTGGCTCTACAACAGCTTTCATCACCGTAATTGTTCTTGATAGACCAGGACCTCCAACCTCATTACGTATTGATAATGTCAGTGCTGATAATATAACTATATCTTGGGAACCCCCTGAATATGATGGTGGCTGTCAAATTAATAATTACATTGTGGATAAAAGAGAAACTACAACAACAATGTGGACCACTGTATCTGCAGCAGTTGCACGAACTTCAATTAAAATAGCTCGTTTAACCACTGGATCAGAATATCAATTCCGTGTTTTTGCAGAAAATCGCTATGGCAAAAGCACTTTCGTTGAAACTGCACCTGTTGTTGCAGAGTATCCATTTAATCCACCTGGTCCACCTGGTACTCCTCGAGTTGTACATGCAACTAAAGCCTTCATGATTGTAAGTTGGCAGGAACCAGTTAATGATGGAGGTAGCAAAGTCCTTGGTTATCATCTTGAACGTAAAGAACGTAGCAGCATCCTTTGGACTAAAGTTAATAAAATCCTCATAAGTGATACTCAGATGAAGGTCACAGGCCTTGATGAAGGCCTGATGTATGAATATCGTGTGTATGCTGAAAACATTGTAGGCATTGGCAAATGTAGCAAATCATGTGAACCAGTTGCAGCAAGGGATCCATGTGACCCACCTGGTCAACCAGAAGTGACTAATATTACCAGAACATGTGTCTCGCTATCATGGACCAAACCAGAATATGATGGCGGTGCTAAGATTACAGGCTACATTATTGAGCGGAAAGAGCTCCCAGATGGTCGTTGGCTGAAGTGCAATTTCACCAATGTACAGGAAACTTTCTTTGATGTGACAGGGCTTACTGAAGACCAGCGTTATGAGTTCCGTGTTATTGCCAGGAATGCTGCTGGCCAATTTAGTGAACCATCAGAATCCACTGGGCCAGTTACTGTAAAGGATGACATAGAAGCTCCAAGAATTATGATGGATGCCAAATTCAGAGATGTTGTCATTAAAGCTGGAGAGATTTTAAAAATCAGTGCTGACATTGCCGGACGACCCTCGCCAATAGTTTCATGGACAAAGGATGGCAAAGAGATTGAAGCAAAGGCAAGAGTTGAAATAGTCTCAACAGATCACACTACAACAGTAACTGTTAAAGACTGTATTCGACGTGATTCAGGGCAGTATGTGTTAACATTACAAAATGTTGCTGGAACAAAATCATTAGCAGTTAATTGCAAAGTACTTGACAGACCAGGTCCACCAGCAGCCCCACTAGAAATTAAAGGACTGACTGCTGAGAAATGTTATTTGTCATGGGGAGCACCTCAAGAAAATGGAGGGGCAGAGATTGACTATTATATTGTGGAAAAACGTGAGACTAGTAGGATTGCATGGACTATTTGTGAAGCAGAACTTCCAACAACATCCTGCAAAGTAACAAAACTACTCAGAGGAAATGAATATATTTTCAGGGTGATGGGTGTAAATAAATATGGTGTTGGTGAACCCTTGGAAAGTGATGCTGTCAAGGCCCTGGATCCTTTTACTGTTCCAAGCCCTCCTAAATCTTTAGAGATTACCAATGTGACAAAGGAATCCTTGACTCTTTGTTGGGCAAGACCTGACAGTGATGGAGGAAATGAAATTTCTGGTTATGTGATTGAAAGGCGCGAGAAAAACAGTTTACGGTGGATACGTATAAATAAAAAGCCAGTTTATGACCTCAGAATAAAATCTTCAGGTCTCCGTGAAGGATGTGAATATGAATATAGAGTATATGCAGAAAATGCTGCAGGCCTTAGTCTTCCTAGTGATACTTCACCACTAATAAAAGCAGAAGATCCAGTTTTCCTGCCATCACCACCATCTAGGCCCAAGATAATGGACTATACAAGAACTCATATAACAATTGGATGGACAAAGCCATTATTTGATGGCGGAGCTCCTATTATTGGATACACTATTGAATACAAGCTAACTAGTGAAACTGATTGGTCAACTGCTATTCAAAGCTTAAGAGGTACAGAATACACTGTAATGGGTCTTACATCAGGAGCAGAATATGTTTTCAGAGTAAAGTCTCTGAACAAAGTTGGTGCTAGTGATCCAAGTGATGCCTCAGAACCTCAAGTAGCAAAAGAAAGGGAAGAAGAACCTGTTTTTGATATTGATAATGAAATGAGAAAGACTTTAATTGTGAAAGCTGGCGAATCATTTACAATGACTGTGCCGTTCAGAGGAAAACCTATCCCTAATGTGCTATGGAGTAAGCCAGATACTGATCTCCGTACACGAGCAAATATTGATTCCTCAGATAAACGCACCTCACTTACTATTGAAAAGGCAACACGAAACGATTCTGGAAAGTATACACTGACATTACAAAACATTGTAAACACAGCTAGTTTGACATTAGTTGTTAAAGTTCTTGACTCACCAGGGCCTCCATCTAGTATCATTGTAAAAGATGTAACAAAAGAGTCTGCTATGTTATCTTGGGAAGCTCCGGAGAATGATGGAGGGGCTCCTGTGAAGAACTACTACATTGAAAAACGAGAAGCAAGCAAGAAAGCTTGGGTCACCGTAACCAACAATTGCCATCGTCTTTCCTACAAAGTCACCAATTTACAAGAAGGTGGAATTTATTACTTCAGAGTCTCTGGGGAAAATGAATTTGGTGTTGGAGTTCCCATTGAAACCAAAGATGGAGTTAAAATAACAGGTAAGTAATTTTTTAAAGTTTATTTTATATGCTTTACTTATGATTTATTGAAGTAAGACTCCGTGGGGCTTACTTCCATGTTTTAGTTTTAATTTACTCATAATGCTTATATTAATAACATAAATTTAATGCAAAGCAGCAATATAAGTTAATGCAAAGTATCAGTATAAATTAATGCAAAGTAGCAATGAAAGGTGTTTGCCTTAAGGAATTGCTTAATAATTAGAATTCTGATATATGCAAGCAAGCCAAATATAGATCTTTTCCATACAAAATATTTATTTGCAGAGTACGTTACAAGTACTAAGGATGCATCAAGCATGTTTTTGTTCTCAGTGTATCTTCTTATTCTTAGAAAAACCAAGCCCACCAGAAAAACTGGGAGTATCGAGCATGACTAAGGACAGTGTATCCCTTGTATGGCTAAAACCCGAGCACGATGGTGGAAGCAGAATTATAGGCTACCTTGTTGAAGCCCTAGAGAAAGGGCAGCAAAAGTGGGTCAAATGTGCTGTAGTCAAGACAACCCATCATGTTGTCCAAGGTCTCAAGGAGAACATGGATTATTTCTTCAGAGTATTTGCAGAAAACGAAGCTGGCCTGAGTGACCCTAGAGAGCTTCTTCTTGCTGTCACAGTTAAAGAACAAATGGGTATGTGTTCCATTATCAAGAATAAACTTGTCTGAATTTAACTGAAAATGGAATCGATATGCATCTTCAATGTTTTTAACCTATATTTAACCTATTCTGAAATTTTCCAGAATCTCCTGAAGTGGATATGAAAGGTTTCCCAAATCATACCATTTATGTGAGAGCTGGTTCAAATCTAAAGGTTGAGATTCCAATTTCAGGAAAACCCTTGCCAAAGGTAACTTTGTCCAGAGATGGCATTCCTCTCAAGCCAACCATGAGGTTTAATACAGAAACCACTGCAGAGAGTGTAATTGTTAACCTTAAGGAAAGTGTGGCTGCTGACGCTGGCAGATATGACATCACGGCTGCAAACTCCAGCGGAACAACAAAATCCTTCATTAAAATTGTTGTCCTGGATAGACCAGGTCCCCCAGTTGGTCCTGTGGTGGTTAGTGACATCACTGAAGAAGGAGTCACCCTGAACTGGGAGCCCCCACATTATGATGGTGGAAGCCAAGTCACAAACTACATTGTGCTAAAAAGAGAAACAAGCACAGCTGTGTGGTCTGAAGTGTCTGCAACAGTTGCTAGAAATACTATTAAAGTCATGAAGTTAACCACTGGCGAAGAGTATCAGTTCCGTATCAAAGCAGAAAATCGCTTTGGCATTAGTGACCATCTTGATTCAGCATGTGTAATTATAAAACTGCCTTATAGTAAGTATCTCCATTTTTGTTCTGGTTTTCTGAATTTTTCAGACATAGGCATATACTTTGCTAACTTGCCTGTAATATTTCTTTAGCTACACCTGGGCCACCTTCAACACCATGGATCACTAATGTAACTCAAGAAAACATCACTGTTGGATGGCATGAACCTGTTTCTAATGGAGGCAGTGCAATCATTGGTTACCATCTGGAAATGAAGGACAGAAACAGTATTTTATGGAAGAAAGTGAATAAAATGATTATACGCACAACTCACTTCAAGACCTCTAACATTACTGCTGGACTAATTTATGAATTCAGAGTTTATGCTGAAAATGCAGCAGGCATTGGAAAACCAAGTCATCCATCTGATGCAGTTCTTGCAATTGATGCATGCGGTATGTACTCAGTAATACCACGTCACATTTCTAATTTTGAATGTAGTGCAAAACGTCCTTGGTCAGTTAGTATCGGATACTTATGCAAGTGTTAATTACAAATGCAATTGTTTTCCACATTGCAGAGCCACCAAGAAAGGTTCGTGTCACAGATATTTCCAAGACATTTGTCAGCCTGTCTTGGACACAACCAGCTTTTGATGGTGGTAGCAAAATCACTGGATACATCGTGGAGAAACGCGATTTTCCAAATGGAAGATGGGCAAAGGCCAGCTTTACCAACGTCATAGAGACCCAGTTTACTGTATCAGGATTGACTCAGAGCTCTCAATATGAATTCCGTGTCTTTGCTAAGAATGCAGCAGGTTCAGTTAGTAATCCATCAGATGTTTTAGGACCTATCACCTGTGTGGACACATATGGTAAGAAATGTAGTAAACCAACAAAATTATTTCTTGGTTTTATTTATGGGGTTTGTCTTATCACCATTGGTAGAAATGTGTAGCTGAATTCAAGAGTTCTTAATGTGACAATGCCATGCAGATTTATATTTGATTTTCTTTTGGAGATCAGATGGTACAGAATTTTAGTCAATGGTAAATGCTTAAATGCTCTTACTTAAATGCTCTTTTGTGAGTCTTTTAACTTTTAAAGTGTCTTAATATCGTCTTTATTTCATTTATTTTTCATTAAGGTGCACCTGAAATAGATGTACCACCAGAATATACAGAAGTAGTAAAATACAAAGCTGGCACTGCCGTTAAGCTCAAACTTGGGATTTCAGGAAAACCCATACCATCAATAGAGTGGTTTAGAAATGGCAAAGAAATACAGACAAGTGCCCAAATATCTATTGAAAACACCACCGAATTCGCCTCTGTACTGATCAAAGATGCAACTCGTCTTAATAGTGGAAGCTATGAACTGAAATTAAAGAATGCCATGGGTTCAGCGTCTGCTTCCATTAAAGTACAAATACTTGGTATGCTTTGAAAAATATTGCACTTCATTCTTCTTTTAAATTCCTCTAGCAACAGTTATTCTTGTATATTAATAGATATCATTTCCTCTCCATCAACAGATAAGCCAGGACCTCCATGTGGGCCTGTTCAGTTTAAAACAGTCACTGCTGAAAAGATTTCTCTTATGTGGCAACCACCAGCTGATGATGGAGGTGCCAGAGTGACACATTACGTTGTTGAAAAACGAGAAACAAGCCGTGTGGTATGGTCTATGGTTTCAGAAAAACAAGAAGACTGCAACGTCACTACCACCAAAGTCATAAAAGGAAACGAATATGTATTCCGTATACGAGCGGTAAACAAATTTGGTGTTGGCGATCCACTGGAATCTGATAGCGTTGTAGCTAAAAATGCATTTGGTAAGATAGATGTTAATAAACATATTCTGGAACATCTTTAAGAATATATTTGCCAGTTGATTATATTGGTCTGATATGATTTTTCTCTCAATAAAAATACAGTTACCCCTGGACAACCTGGTATGCCAGAGGTCACCATGATAACAAAACAGTCAATGACTGTAACCTGGAGCAGGCCTATTGTGGATGGTGGTAGTGAAATAAGTGGATATTATCTTGAAAAGCGCGATAAGAAAAGCCTAGGCTGGTTCAGAGTAATTAAAGAAACCATTCGGGACACCAGACAGAAAGTGACAGGACTAACAGAAAACAGCGAATACCAGTTCAGAGTCTCTGCTGTGAATGCAGCTGGCCAAGGTCCCTTCTCTGACACAACTGACTTTTTCAAGGCTGCAGATCCTATTGGTAAGAACCTAGGCATGTGAATGGCAGAAAATTTAAAGAACTGATAATAAAGATTCTTGAAATTGCATGATAGAAAATAAGGACATGTTTTGTGTTCCACCTGATGAATGACTAATGTTTTGAAGTCTCATATTATATTTTATGTGTTTTATAGAAAAGCCTGGGCCACCTGTTAAGTTAAAGGTTGTGGATACTACAAAGACATCTATCACACTTGGCTGGACTAAACCAGCTTATGATGGAGGAAGTGCAATTACCAGCTATGCTATAGAAAAGAGAGAAGGTGATGAAGAAGAATGGTCTGTAGTGAGTGCCAGAGGAGAAGTGAGAACCACAGAATACGTTGTTTCTCAGCTTCAGCCAGGACTCAATTACTACTTCCGTGTAGCTGCTATAAATTGTGCTGGACAAGGTGAACCTATTGAAATGACAGAACCTGTACAAGCTAAAGACATTCTTGGTATGGAATTTTAATCTTTTTCCTTTATTCTTTTCATTTTTTGTATTTTTGGCTTTTCCTCAGTGTTAACAATTCAATGTTGTTGTTTTTTGCAGAGGAGCCAGAAATTGATCTGGATGTGGCTCTCAAAACCTCAATTGTAGCTAAAGCAGGTCAAGATGTGCAAATAATGATCCCATTCAAGGGAAGACCTCCTCCAACTGTCACATGGAGAAAGGGTGACAAAAATCTTAGTGTTGATGAAAGATACACCATCCAGAACACAGATTCATCTACACTTCTTAGTATTCCTCAAGTCACTCGCAATGATACAGGGAAATACGTCCTTACAATTGAAAACGGAGTTGGAAGAGCCAAAACCTCCTTTGTGAATGTCAAAGTGCTTGACACTCCATCTGCATGCCAGAGGCTGCACCTAAAAAATGTTTCTCGTGGAACTGTGACTTTGGTATGGGAACCACCACTCATAAACGGCGGTTCTGAAGTAACAAATTACGTCATTGAAAAAAGAGACGCTACAAAAAGAGCTTGGTCTACTGTAACAGCAAAGTGCTCTAATACATCCTTTAAGATAACTGACTTATCAGAGAAGGTTCCATACTTCTTCCGTGTCCTTGCAGAAAATGAAAATGGATTAGGTGAACCATGTGAAACTTCAGAACCAGTGAAAGCTGCAGAAGTTCCTGGACCTGTGAGGGATTTGGCCATGAAAGATTCGACCAAGACCTCTGTCACCCTACAGTGGACCAAACCTGAGTTTGATGGTGGTAGTATCATATCAGATTATATCATTGAAAAGAGATTAAAGGATGAAACGGAATGGTCATATGCAGGCATGAGTAAGGCATGTGAATTTGAAGTTGAAAAACTTAAGGAGCTTTCTGTCATGGAATTCAGAGTGTCAGCCAAGAATGAAAAAGGAAGAAGTGACGGTGTTACAGTTGGGCCAATTACAGTGAAAGATTATGTAATAACACCTGAAGCAGATCTTTCTGATATACCTGGAGGACAGGTAACAGTGAGAATAGGTTATAATGTACACCTTGAATTGCCATATAAAGGAAAGCCAATACCCACTATGAGTTGGCTGAAAGACAACATGCCTCTTAAAGAGAGTGAACTGGTTCGCTTCAAGAAAACAGAAAACAAAATAACATTAAGCATTAAGAATGTGAAGAAAGAAAATGGTGGCAAATACACCTTAATTCTTGATAATGGCGTCCACAGAAAGACATTCCCATTTACAATTATAACACTTGGCCCACCATCTAAGCCAAAAGGACCCATAAAACTAGAGGAAATCAAAGCAGACAGCATGGTTCTTTCATGGGGTGCTCCTGAAGATGACGGAGGTGGAGAAATTACAGGCTACAGTGTTGAGAAGCGAGAAACTTCACAAACCAATTGGAAAATGGTCTGCTCTAGCGTGGCAAGGACAACATTCAAAGTTCCAAACCTCATTAAAGATACAGAATATCAATTCAGAATTCGTGCAGAAAATAGGTATGGAGTAAGTCCACCACTTAACTCTGTAGAGGTCATAGCTAAACACCAGTTTAAGCCACCAGGTTCACCAGGGAAACCCATTGTTTACAACGTAACAGCTGATGGGATGACCATATCTTGGGATGCTCCGCTTTATGATGGAGGTGCAGAAATTACTGGGTACCACGTGGAAAAGAAAGAAAGAAATAGCATCCTGTGGCAGAGAGTGCCACCAGGTTCACCAGGGAAACCCATTGTTTACAACGTAACAGCTGATGGGATGACCATATCTTGGGATGCTCCGCTTTATGATGGAGGTGCAGAAATTACTGGGTACCACGTGGAAAAGAAAGAAAGAAATAGCATCCTGTGGCAGAGAGTAAATGTTTCATCCATATCTAATAGAGAATACAGAATTACTGGATTAATGGAAGGCTTGGACTATCAGTTCCGTGTATTTGCAGAAAACTCTGCTGGATTAAGCCCTGCTGGCGATCCAAGCAAATTCACTCTGGCTGTTTCTCCAGTTGGTAAGTGACTGAGCGTTCAGCGTAAAATGCCTATGTTGACAGCCTGTCAGAACTGATGCTGATTACTGTGTGTGCATTTTATTTTCTTTCAGATCCACCTGGCACCCCTGATTATATTGATGTGACAAGAGAAACAATTACTCTGAAGTGGACTGCACCACTACGTGATGGAGGCAGCAAGATTGTGGGTTATAGTGTTGAGAAACGGCAAGGGGCTGAAGATCGTTGGGTCAGGTGCAATTTTATTGATGTCAGTGAATGCCAATATACAGTTACAGGACTTAGCCCTGGGGACCGATATGAATTCCGAATCCTTGCAAGAAATGCTGTTGGGACTATCAGCCCTCCTTCTCAGTCTTCAGGCTATATCATGACCAGAGATGAGGCTGGTAAGTTTTACTTAGTAGTAGTTGCCACAAGTAGTTATACTTATTCCACTATATGGAATTCCAATCTTTTTTAAAGTTTGAGAGCGTGTTAGATTTTCAGGGTCAGAATGAATCAGTATAAAATGTTTGGGTCGAGCTCTGTGTCTGCAAAATGGTTGTCCCGTGCTGGGCATTCTTATTAACATGTGGCAAGTTCATAAAGAGGAATTGATTAATGCAATTAAAAGTACTCTTATTCTGGGGAAGATATATCGGTGACCATTAAGTAAAAATTATTTTATTTCTTTTTCCTTTCTAGTTGCACCGAATATTGAATTTGGTGCTGAGCATTTTGAGGGTCTTACCGTCAAAGCCGGTGAAAGCATAAGACTTAAAGCCCTTATCACAGGCCGGCCAGTTCCTCAGGTGACATGGATTAAAGATGGAGAAGAGATTGACAAGCGATTGAACATTGAAATAACCGATGCTATTGGTTCTAGTACCATATTTGTTAGAGATGCTTCTCGGGACCATCGTGGAGTATATAGGGTGGAAGCCAAGAATTCATCAGGCACCAAACGAGCAGACATAACCATAAGAGTCCAAGGTAATTTGGCATTGTTTTACTAAACTTATTTGCCTGAAACTGAGTAAGCTTTATTTAGCATTATCTTCGTTCTCCATTAAGTGCAGCACAACTTAAACAATTATATTTTTACTTTACAGATACTCCAGGGAAAGTAGGGGGGCCGATACGCTTCACCAATATTACTGAAGAGAAGGCAACACTCTGGTGGGAGCCTCCAGCTAACGATGGCTGTGCAGCCATTACTCATTATGTCATTGAAAAGCGTGAAACCAGCAGAATAGCCTGGGCACTAATTGAAGATCACTGCGAAGCCTGCAGTTACACAGCACTTAGGTTAATCAAAGGCAATGAATATCAGTTCCGAATCTCTGCAGCTAACAAGTTTGGGGTCGGCAGGCCTCTGGAATCTGACCCTTTTGTAGCACAAGCACATTACAGTAAGTTCATTTTCAATAGAAAAATCCAGTTTGTGTACTTGTTAGCCTTATCCAAAGTGCCCCCTAACCTGCTATTCTCATCCTACAGCTGTTCCTGATGCACCTGGTACTCCAGAACCTAGCAATGTAACAGGGAACAGCATCACTCTCACTTGGACAAGGCCAAAATCAGACGGTGGAAGTGACATTGATCAGTATATCTTGGAGAGAAGAGAAAAGAAGAGCATTCTCTGGGTCAAAGTATCCAGCAAGAGACCCATTTCTGAGACAAGATTCAGAGTCACAGGCCTAACTGAGGGCAATGAATATGAATTCCAGGTTATGGCAGAAAACAAGGCAGGTGTGGGGCCACCAAGTGGTGTGTCAAGGCTGATTAAATGCCGAGACCCAGTTCATCCACCAGGTCCTCCTACTGTGGTCAAAGTGACCGATACATCAAAGACAAGTGTCAGCTTAGAATGGACCACACCAGTCTTTGATGGTGGCTTGGAAATCATTGGCTACATCATTGAAATGTGCAAAGCTGATTTGGGAGATTGGCATAAAGTCAATGCTGAGACTTTAATCGCTACCAAGTATACTGTGACCGACTTAGAACCAAATGAGCATTATAAATTCCGAGTCAGTGCTGTAAATACTGCAGGCAGAGGAGAAAGCTGTGAAGTTGCTGCTTCAGTGCAAACAGTAGATAGGCTCTCTTCCCCTGAACTTGATATTGATGCTAGCTTCAAGCAGACTCACATTGTCCGAGCAGGTGCAAATATTCGTCTCTTTATTGCCTTCAAGGGCAGACCTGTTCCTATTGCTACGTGGTCCAAAACAGATTCTGATCTCAACTTGCGTGCTAACATTCACACAACAGACTCATTCAGTACATTAACTGTAGAGAACTGCAACAGAACGGATGCTGGAAAATATGTGTTTACTGTAGAAAACAACAGTGGCAGCAAATCTATTGCTTTCACAGTGAAAGTGCTAGACACTCCTGGACCACCAGGCCCTATTACATTTAAGGATGTGACTAAAGGCTCTATCACTTTAATGTGGGATGCCCCCATTTTGGATGGAGGCGCACGTATCCATCATTATGTTGTGGAGAAGCGAGAAGCAAGCCGCCGTAGCTGGCAAACTGTTTATGAAAAATGTACCCGCCAAATAGCTAAAGTGACTGATCTTGCAGAAGGTGTACCCTATTTTTACCGTGTCTCAGCAGAAAATGAATATGGATTAGGTGAACCATGTGAATTAACAGAGCCGGTGGTGGCCACTGAAGAACCTGCTCCACCTAAGAGATTAGATATTGTTGATACCACTAGGTCATCTGTGGTACTTGCTTGGCTTAAACCTGATCATGACGGTGGCAGCCGTATCACTGGATATCTCCTAGAGATGAAACAGAAAGGAACTGAAGTTTGGCGTGAAGCAGGTCAAACAAAGCAGCTTACTTTTACAGTAGAAGGTCTTACTGAGAATAATGAATATGAATTTAGGGTCAGAGCAAAGAACGATGCTGGCTACAGTCAGCCAAGAGAAGCTTTCTGTTCTGTCATTATTAAAGAGCCACAGATTGAACCAACTGCAGATCTTAGTGGAATAACTAAACAGCTTATAACTTGCAAAGCTGGAAGCGCCTTTACTATTGATATACCTATTAGTGGACGTCCTATTCCAAAAGTAATCTGGAAACTTGAGGAAATGAGACTTAAGGAAACTGATAGAGTAACTATCAAGACAACAAAAGATAGAACTACACTGACTGTTAAGGACAGCATGAGAGGTGACTCTGGCAAATACTATTTGACTCTTGAGAACACAGCTGGTGTGAAGACATTCACTGTCACAGTTACAGTTATTGGAAGGCCAGGTCCAGTTATGCACCCCATAGAAATATCATCAGTGACAGCAGAATCCTGTGTATTGTCTTGGAAGGAACCTGAAGATGATGGTGGTTCTGATATTACTAACTACATTGTTGAAAAACGTGAATCTGGTACAACAGCATGGCAACTAGTAAATTCCAGCGTCAAGCGTACACAGATCAAAGTAACTCATCTCACTAAATATATGGAATATACCTTCCGTGTCAGTTCGGAAAACAGATTTGGGGTCAGCAAGCCTGTTGAATCAGTTCCAGTTGTGGCTGAGCATCCATTCGGTAAGGAATTGTTACTGTAACAAATGTGCATAAGCTTGTTCCAATTTGGCTTGAAAAAGAATTAAAACATTTCACATTTCTCTCTTTTTTTAATTAGTCCCACCAAGTCCCCCCACAAGACCTGAGGTCTATTTTGTTTCGGCCAATGCCATGTCTATTCGATGGGAGGAACCATATCATGATGGTGGCAGCAAAGTTGTGGGATACTGGATTGAAAAGAAAGAACGCAACACAATCCTTTGGGTAAAGGAAAACAAAAGTCCATGTTTTGAGTGTGACTACAAAATTACTGGGCTTGTAGAAGGTCTGGAGTATCAATTCAGAACATATGCATTAAACGCTGCTGGAGTAAGCAAAGCCAGTGAAGCTTCTAGGCCATTAGTGGCCCAAAACCCAGTTGGTAAGTATAACACAGAAAAAGTATGTTTCCTGTTGTTATTTAAAAAAAACAAACTATATTTCAATTATAATGTTCTTTTTCAGATCCACCAGGTAGACCAGAAGTGACAGACGTCACACGGTCTTCAGTTTCATTAAGCTGGACTTCTCCACTCTATGATGGTGGAAGCAAAATTGTGGGCTATATTATAGAACGCAAGCCCTACAATGTGGCTGGAGATGGACGCTGGTTGAAATGCAATTACACCATTGTTTCAGAAAACTTCTTTACCGTAACAGCCCTAAGTGAAGGAGAAGAATATGAATTCCGCATATTAGCAAAGAACAGTGCTGGGGTGATTAGCAAAGGTTCTGAAACAACAGGTCCTGTCACCTGTAAAGATGAATATTGTAAGAGATTTTCTTTAAAGTTTTTAAATTATTAATTTTAACATGTTAGTTTTAACAGAAATTAATGCTGTGAGTTTATTTATCTTATTTTTTCATAGCACCACCTAAAGCTGAACTGGATGCCAAATTACAAGTAGATGTTGTAACTGTTAGGGCTGGATCTGATCTTGTTCTTGAGGCATCGATTGGTGGAAAACCAGAACCAAAAGTGTTTTGGTCTAAGGGTGACAAAGAGTTGGATTTATGTGAAAAGATCTCTTTGCAATATACCAGCAAGCATGCTGTTGCAATCATCAAGTTCTGTGACAGAAGCGATACTGGAAAATACACACTGACTGTTAAAAATGCTAGTGGAACAAAACAAGTTGCTGTTTTTGTCAAAGTACTTGGTAAGTATTTCCCGATCCATAATTTCTGAGAGCAGCCTCTTTCTTTTCAAGCCAATGTTCTATCATTGCCCCGATTATTCTTTTTTTCTTGTCTACAGATTCTCCTGGTCCATGTGCTGGCAAAATCACTATTAGTAGAGTGACAGAAGAGAAGTGCACCTTGGCCTGGAATCTTCCTCAAGAAGATGGAGGAGCAGAGATTACCCACTACATTGTGGAGAGACGTGAGACCAGTAGGCTGAACTGGGTTATTGTTGATGCAGAATGTCCAACACTCTCATGCGTAGCAATAAGACTTATCAAAAATAATGAATACATATTCCGTGTAAGAGCTGTCAATAAGTACGGACCTGGAGTTCCACTTGAATCAGAAACTATAATTGCTAGAAATTCATTTAGTAAGTGCCTCCTTAGTTCTGTTCAATTTTTCCTTTGGGATAGATGTGTAAGAGATGCCTGATTTTTCTTCTTCTCTTTTTAAAATCATTTCAGCTATTCCATCACCTCCCGGGATGCCTGAATCAGTGGGTGCTGGCAAAGAGCACATCATTATTCAATGGCTGAAACCAGAATCTGATGGGGGTAATGAAATAAGCACCTATCTTGTAGACAAACGAGAAAAGAGAAGTCTACGCTGGACACGAGTAAACAGAGACTACACCATTTACGACACCAGGTTGAAAGTCACTGGTCTCATGGAAGGCTGTGAATATCAGTTCCGTGTTACCGCAGTAAATGCTGCTGGTAACAGTGAGCCTAGTGAAGCTTCTCAATATATTTTGTGCAAAGAACCTTCATGTAAGTTCCCACAACTAATGTCTCTATATTTAATTCCAGATCAAGTGGTACGAATGATTTCTTGGTCATGGTTATGAAAAAGGGTCAATAGGGTTTTGGTCATGGTTATGAAAAAGGGTCAATAGGGTTTTGTTTTTGCTTTTTTTAAATCATTTGGAATCCCAGATGAATGTGAACGTATTTATTTATTTTAGGGATTTATATGATATCTTGTGGCCAAGTTCTCAAGGCCACTTACGCTTTTGCATCTAATTCAGTGAAATCTTACAAAATCAGTTCCCTTTTATTTGATACAGATGGGCACCCAGATTGATCAGAGTGAAATAACTAAAAATGTTCAGTGTTCTGTCAGAAATATAGATCCATATATTTGTGAAAGAGTAATTTACTTTTTTATTCTAGTGCTCCATTTAGATCAGAAAACAGTATTGTTTTAAAATTTAAAACCAAAAGATCAAAGCTCACAACTACTGCTGGTTCAGTACAATTGAGACATTTCTGGGCTGGAAATACTTTTTTCATTTATCTAATTATTTGCAAAAGACAAAAGAATTTCCCATGTATAATAGCCGCTCATAGAGTCTTACAGATAGGTTGTTATCATGCGGTAGAATTAGTTTGTTTACATTTAAGTTGATTTACCTTTAAAGATAGAATAAAAAGGAATAGTCATATGGAGTAATATAAGCAGGCTGAATTTCTAAATAGTTTTCCAGTTGAGGTGTCCATTTGTGGAGTCCTTGTTCAGAAATAGAAAGAGACTGACAATGTATGTTGCTATCAGGCTTTTTGCAATCAAAATTAAACTTACACCTTGCCCAAAGAATGAAAGCCTTCAAGAGAAAATAATAATAATAATAATAATAATAATAATAATAATAATAATAATAATAATAATAATAATAATAATTTGTTCTTTT